CTGATATAGAGTATTGAGAACAATTTGATTTTATCCCCCTTTTGGCTAATGTTGATTGACCTTATAACACTGTGGTGTCAAACTGCATGTGGGCCAAATGCCTGATGTGAAATCAGCTGATCGGCCAGAATGTTTTTTCCCCAACAAAATGAAAATTTTTTATTAACAAAATAAAAGTGATTAAGACACAATAACACGCCGAATAAATACTAATTCAGAAGTCAAACAACAAAAATCAGCGTTAATTTACAAAATTTTCACAGGACTAGTTTCGATGGTTTTACCGAACCATCATCTTCAGCTGCAAAACCGCAAATGAACAAGATAGGAAATAATATTTAGATAAGGTAAGAAAGCCTGGACAAGAATAAGCAAGTGGCGCCATCTGTTGGCGAAACCAGAACTAAAACATAATTTCTCTAAAAGCCGAAGGCAAATTTGGATTGGAATTAGGATCGTTAACTAGAACAGAAAGATTTTTATGAATGTGAAATGCCTCTAGAAAATCCAGTTCTCCAATGGAATATGTTTTATGAATAATTTTGGCAGCAGAAAAATTGAAAGTGTGATTTTCGGACCAACAATGTTGAGCAACAGAAGACTTCTGTGTTTCCTTTTTCTAACATATGCCTCATGTTCTTTGACGCGAAATTTTAAGGCTCTCTTAGTTTGGCCAATGTAAATTAAACCGCACTGGCAAGGAATCCTATAAATACCCCAGGAATTCATATCCGGAATGGGGTCCTTGAGTATAGAAGTTGGAATTTTATTGATGGGAGAGTAAACAACCCGAAAGTTAAATTTCTGCAAAATATGTGCAACTTTATAGCTAATTGATGGAAAGAAGGGAATGACAACAGAATTTTTATAATCTCCTAAAATAAGAGTGTGGCTTTTAGTGTGTTGAGATGAGAATTTTTTAACTGCTTGATTAATAATGTTGGGTGAAAAAGCCCCTGTCAATAGCTATTGCTTTTAAATAATTTAGTTCTTCATCAAGGGCTAGTTTGGAGGAGCAAACTTGAAGAGCACGGAAAACATAAGGAATAAAATGAAGACTAACTTTTGTTTAGTCGGATGACATGATTTAAAGTGTGGTGGAAGGCAAACCGATGAAGGTTTACGGTAAATCTGTAGTACTGAAGTTGGATGTGTTACGTGTGACCAGAAATGTCGAGAAAACGGAAGAGAAATTGCAAAGTCTCAAGTTCAAAAGTGAACTGAATAGCAGGATCAATAGAATTCATTGTTGAAAGAACTCTATTTAAATCATCTTTATTACCTTCAAACAGGGTAAAAGTATCGTCTACGTAGCGGAACCATGCCGGGAAGTTTAAAGTTTCAAACAATTTTGATTCATAATAATGCATGTAGATATCAGCCAGGATGGGACTGAGGGGGCTTTCCATGGCTAATCCCTCAGTTTGCTTGTAATATTTATTTTGGAAAACAAAATGTGTTTGTTTCAAACACTCTGTTTCAACACTCTCACTCAACTCTGTTTGAAACAAACACATTTTGTTTTCCAAAATAAATATTACAAGCAAACTGAGGGATTAGCCATGGGAAGCCCCCTCAGTCCCATCCTGGCTGATATCTACATGCATTATTATGAATCAAAATTGTTTGAAACTTTAAACTTCCCGGCATGGTTCCGCTACGTAGACGATACTTTTACCCTGTTTGAAGGTAATAAAGATGATTTAAATAGAGTTCTTTCAACAATGAATTCTATTGATCCTGCTATTCAGTTCACTTTTGAACTTGAGACTTGCAATTCTCTTCCGTTTCTCGACATTCTGGTCACACACGTAACACCCACCCAACTTCAGTACTACAGTTTACCGTAAACCTTCATCGGTTTGCCTTCCACCACACTTTAAATCATGTCATCCGACTAAACAAAAGTTAGCTTCATTTTATTCCTATGTTTTCCGTGCTCTTCAAGTTTGCTCCTCCAAACTAGCCCTTGATGAAGAACTAAATTATTTAAAAGCAATAGCTATTGACAGGGGCTTTTCACCCAACATTATTAATCAAGCAGTTAAAAAATTCTCATCTCAACACACTAAAAGCCACACTCTTATTTTAGGAGATTATAAAAATTCTGTTGTCATTCCCTTCTTTCCATCAATTAGCTATAAAGTTGCACATATTTTGCAGAAATTTAACTTTCGGGTTGTTTACTCTCCCATCAATAAAATTCCAACTTCTATACTCAAGGACCCCATTCCGGATATGAATTCCTGGGGTATTTATAGGATTCCTTGCCAGTGCGGTTTAATTTACATTGGCCAAACTAAGAGAGCCTTAAAATTTCGCGTCAAAGAACATGAGGCATATGTTAGAAAAAAGGAAACACAGAAGTCTTCTGTTGCTCAACATTGTTGGTCCGAAAATCACACTTTCAATTTTTCTGCTGCCAAAATTATTCATAAAACATATTCCATTGGAGAACTGGATTTTCTAGAGGCATTTCACATTCATAAAAATCTTTCTGTTCTAGTTAACGATCCTAATTCCAATCCAAATTTGCCTTCGGCTTTTAGAGAAATTATGTTTTAGTTCTGGTTTCGCCAACAGATGGCGCCACTTGCTTATTCTTGTCCAGGCTTTCTTACCTTATCTAAACATTATTTCCTATCTTGTTCATTTGCGGTTTTGCAGCTGAAGATGATGGTTCGGTAAAACCATCGAAACTAGTCCTGTGAAAATTTTGTAAATTAACGCTGATTTTTGTTGTTTGACTTCTGAATTAGTAAAATAAAAGTGTTTCAATAAATTTTAAATGCCTCATACTAAATACACTCATGTCCATAAATTAAGGATAATTCGGAGTCACGTGTAAATCGAACTCTAAAATAAATATATCACCTGTAAAATCACTACACACATCTTCAAGAATCATATGCAAATTTCAGGAAGTAACCAGATGACACCGATGGTACGTCACAATGACGAGAGTGTAAGAGAGTGATATATAAGGAATACAGGCAAAGAAGTAAAATTGTTCGCAGGCGCTTTATAAGCATTTCAGTGCAATAACCGAATAGTTATGACACAAAGGACGCATTTGGATGATTTTTTACGTGGTAGAATTATCGGCCGTTTGGAATGTGGGCGTACACAATTGGAAGTATCAGAGGAACTTGGAATTGCCCAGTGTCACCTCCAGGCTTTGGCAACGATTCCAAGAGGATGGTAATGTGAGTAGACGTTACAACACAGGTCGCCCCAGAGTTACAACGCCGAATGAGGACCGGTATTTGGCAGTTACTGCCAAAAGAAACAGGCGGAGCACAGCCTCAGACCTGTCTCGTCAGCTCTCTTCAGCCACTGGTACGACAATTTCAAGGCAGACCGTGTACAGAAGCTTAGGGCAGATTGGTCTATATGCTCGTAGACCTGTCAGATGCGTTCCACTTACTGCAACTCACTGTCGCCTGCGGTTAGCCTGGAGTAGAGAGCATGCATTGTGGACACCGCAACAGTGGGCTTGTGTGATGTTTTCCGACAAGTCCAGGTTTAGCTTGCAGTCTGATTCTCGCCGGACTTTCATATGGAGAGCTCCAGGTACCCGTTACCACCAAAAAAAAATCATTGAACGACACCGTTACGGTGGTGCAGGAGTGCTCGTTTGGGGTGGAATTATTCTGGGTTCCAGAACTGACCTGCATGTTCAAATTGGAACCATGACAAGCCAAATCTATCGGGACGTCATTCTGGAACAACATGTACGTTTATTTCGGGGCGCCATGGGCGCACAATTTGTGTTTATAGATGATAATGCCCGTCGTCACTGTGCAAACATCGTAAATGAATTCCTTCAATCGGAGGATATCACCCGTATGGACTGGCCAGCATTCTCACCGGACTTGAATCCAGTAGAGCACGTGTGGGACATGCTTGGCCGACGAGTTGCAGCCCGTCAACCTCCTCCTACATGTCTAACGGAACTTCGGAGAGCATTGCTTTTTGAGTGGTGTAATATCCCCCAAGATCAGATCGATAATTTGATACTCAGCATGCCTAGGTGTTGTATGGACTGTATTGCATCGTCTGGGAGACACAATGTATTAACAATCATACCAACCATGTAATATTGGTTTTTTGTAAATAGGTTTTTTTTGTAATTTGCTCCAGGGAGAAAAAATCGCTAATTTTTTTAATAATATCAAACATATAGCATCTTTTTTTGCTCTTTACCTTTTGTTTAATAAATAAGCTTTACAAATAAGTCAAATTTGTTTTGCTTCTAACTCTTCCTTTGCCTGATTTTGCATTATCCTTAATTTATGGACATGAGTGTATTTATTAAAAATATGTAACTAAGAATATCCAAAGTAAAAGAATTCAAATTTGTATTTGTTTTCTATCTGAAATATCTAAAGTTTATTACCTCCATGACATTTTTATATGCTACATATAGTGACACAAATGTATTGACAGCTAATGTTACATTTTCAGATTGATATTTATTTCAAGTAATTCCAACATGTTTAATTAATCATAAACAAATTAAGAAATAAACAAATTAGGAAAACTTTCAAAGTTTTAAGAAAAAACTTTAACGTTCTTGCTGACTTTTTAAAGATGCTAACTCTTCTTTCATGTATACCCACTTTATTATTACATCTTCTATAATTATGCAAACTTTGAGCGAAATTGACAAATCCAAGGCAATATGCTGTCTTTGCTACATAAAAATTTTAGAAGTAATGTGCAAGCTGAATGTTTTACTTCAGTTGTTATTACATTTGACATTCAGTAATATAGAAATATACTTCAAGAAAAAGTTTAAATTTGTTATTAATTTCTTCTGCTTTTCTTTCTTTTTTGTAAAGAATGTTTTTTGTATTTTAAGAATAAAACATATATTTACAAAACATCTGCCATATTTTGAATTTACATTAATATACATGGAAATATAAATATTACTTTATTAGCAGAGGTCTAAAAATTGAAATTTTTGTTATTAAGATTGAAAATATTTTTTTCAGGGTTTCAATTCAAAAGTGAGAACAATTGATGATGCAGATCAATTCATAGTAGTTAAAAAGGCTATGGATGTTACAGATTTCACTGTTGAAGAACAAGATGTACGTTTTCCCCCCTTTTTTATAAAGCATTTGTAATAAGAAAAGGGAAAATGTACAAAGTGACTTTTATTTTAATTTTAGGCAGTATTTGCAATTGTAGCTTCTGTTCTTCACTTGGGTAATGTCGGCTTTCTTGAAGAAGAGGGTCAAGCAGTTTTAGCACATGAGAAACCAATTCAAGCTATATCTAAGGTATGTTATGTTTTAATATATATATGTATACATTATATATATTTTATATATATAAATATTATATAATATGTATATATATATTAAAAATGTATAGATGAAAAATTTTCTGTATTTATGTTTTGTATCTTAGCATTTTTTCAGAAATGCTGAAGGATATTTTATGTATTGAATATTTCAAGAAAAGATAGGAAAAGTTCATTAAAATTCAAACATTTTCTTCTTAAGTTTATAATTATTTGTATTAATGTTAAATTTTATATTGTTATTAATGTATTAAAATGCACTATGTAAAATTATTAAATTTGGTTTTTCTGTACTAGTGTCTGTACTGATTATTAGTCTGGCATTGTTTTTCTTCCTCTATACATGGCAATCTGTTTCGTTTGAAAAATGTTAGATAATTGTGTTACCTTGGCGTAACACAACATCGGCATTACACATACTGGATGAAACGGACATGAGCTTTGTGCATACCTCTGTTGAAACATAAATAATTTTTGGTGATGTTACTGCTTTGTCTCATGAATACTTGCATTTTTGCAACATTTTGTTGGGGCTATGGATGAGCAGAAAGTACCATTATTTACACTACTGAAACTAAACTTCATTCGTTTCTTTTATGACATTTTAAAAAAAATCTCATCCAAATTTTTAGTTCTGTTTTCCTTTTTCAAATTTTGTTTTATTTATTTATCTTTTGACTGACTTTTAATCCATGCCATGAAAAAAAAAATCATCTTAATTTAAAATAATGTTAAACAACACCTATTAAAAATCCAAAAGACCAAATTTATTAATTCTAACATTGCTGGGTACTGAATGTTCATCTTATTAAAACAGTTAAAGCAAATACTAACTTTGTGATACTGAAAACTGGGTCTTTTTTTTTTTTTTTTTTTTTTTTTAAGTAGTACAGAAATTTTGAACAGATTTCTGCGCATATCCAAAATAAGAGCTCAGATCACATCATTAACCATCTGCATTTAATTAAGGAAAATTTAAGCAGCAAGACAAATTAAAAAATTGTGCAACAAAGTAGCTAAAAAGACTTTAGTCTTTAATTGTGGGAATTGTACATTTCTGCTTTCAACTGCTCTTTTTTTTTTTCTTTAAATTAGTATTATGCAAAATGATATATTTTAAAACTTTTTAAAATAAAGTTTTTACTTCATTAAATGAAAATGTATCTTTTGAAAGAAGTTTCAATATTGTGTAATTTTTATATGAATTTTGATATTTTAGCTGCTTGGATGTCCATCAGCAGTACTGAAAGATGCTCTTGTTAATAAGACAATTGAAGCTAATAAAGTATTAGTAAGTTGTCGATTTTCACTTTAATAACTTACAAAATAAAAAAAGGCCTATTCTATTTCATATATATATGTAATAAAAACAAGTTTAGAAGTACTGATGTAAGAACACCGAGATGTAGAAATGCAGAAATGCTGATGGTGAAGCACGTAGATAGCACATTAAAGGGGAAGAATTCTGATTGTGTAGAATGCTAAAATGTTGAATTCGTAATGTCTAAGAAACTTGCCAGTCGAGGAGGATTAAATTTCATTTTTATATAAATTGGCATTTGTGGCCATAATTAACTTGGCAGTGTAATCATGCCTATTCAGGAACATTTACAATTTTGATTCCATTGTAATAGAAAGAGAGCACACTGAAATAGCGTTATTGCAGGAAGATAAGCAGAAGCTAAAGTGTGCGATTATCCAATATAGAGGACTCGCAAAGAGAAAGAATTCGGTTTAGGTTAGAAAAGTTTCAGTTCTCAAATTATTGAGTTCAAGTTCTGAATGAGGTAAATCATCGGCATTATGCAAGCCATGTGACACTGATTAATCTAGAAATGGCACAGTCCAGAAAAGAGGTTATTATTATTTTTAGAATAGAGAGGAGATACCCAAATTAAAAATAAGCAATTAAGAGGCTACTTTAAATTATAAAGGTGATTTATATATTTTTTATCTTATATATTTTTTATTTATTTTATATTTATATATTTTTTATTTTTATTTTATATTTATATATTTTTTATTTTATATATTTTTATATTTTTGCACACACACATATATTTAGTAATACCATCTTGAGAAAACTTATCTAAGAAACTGCTTGAAAGGATAGCACGTTTAATTGCATTAAAAATATATTTACATTTTTACAGATAAGTTAAACTGAATTGACTTTTGTGATACAATTTTATTTACGTCTTTATTGTCATCATTCTTTCACTGCGTCCAGAGTGTTAACTCATCTAACTGCCAACTGACAAACAAAAAACATTAAAAGAATTAAATGATGAGAAATGAGTGTCATTTGGTGTTCAATATTGGCATTACATATATACACTGGTGTGCAAAACTTAAGCAACAGCAGGGTTTTTTCCATAACTCCATGAGAAATCCACTGAGAGACATGAAATGCAGAAATGAAGGAGAGTATTATGTACGTAAAGAATGACAAAAGCATCGGAGCTGAAAAAGGAATACAATGCATATGGTATGGACTCAAACAAAAACAAGATTTATTGAATGCATAATATCGTGACTCATGATTGTCTATCCAAGAGGAAGAACAACAAGCAAATGTTCATTAATATGGGATATGCCCTCCCCTCACTGCAATGGTTGCTTCGCACCGTCTCCGCATACTCAGAACCAGCTGGTGCAACATTTCTTGCAGTAGGAGTGCCCATTCCTCAATCAGCATCTGTTCGAGTTGTTGGGTGTTCTCCGGAGGATGTAAGCGTGCTACAATGCGTCTCCCCAAAGCATCCCACACATGTTCGATGGGATTTAAATCTGGGGAGTACGCTGGCCAATCCATTCGAGTGATATCTTCACTTTCCAGTAGCTCCTCAACAGCAAGAGTCCGATGTGGTCGTGCATTGTCATCCATGAAAATGAAGTCTGGGGCAATGGCACCTCGGAACAGACGCACATGGGGAAGGAGTGCCTCCTTACAATAGCAATCCCCGGTTACAGACCCTCTGTCGAAAACGTGGAGCTCAATTTGCCCGTTGAGCATAATGCCTCCCCAGACAAGAACTCCAGGACCACCGTTATGGTGTCTTTCCTTGATGTTACTAGGATAAAACCGGGCTTCCGACCTCTCTCCAAATCAAAACGCGTTGAGAATCGCTTCTAGTACTGAACCGATTCTCATCCGTAAAGAGGACACAACTCCATTGATCAGTTGTACAGGTTTTGTGCTCTCTGCACCACTGTAAACGGTGGCGTCAGTCGCCAACTTTCAACGGGAGGCAGCGTTCAGGACGGCGGGCGAATAGGCCCCCTTTGTGAAGGTGTCTGGCCACAGTAAACCGCGACACTTGTCGCCCCGTTGCTGAGCAATGGCGCTTGCTGACTGCTGTCGGCCTCTTTTTGCCTCCAGGACGATATATTGGTCATCCCCTGCAGTTGTCGTCCTCGGGCGGCCACCACCAACATTTCTAACAACTGTGCCTGTGGTTTGGAATGCTTTCCAAGGGCGCGAAATGACACTTTTGTTGATTCTGAACTCTGCAGCTACACTGGTGACAGTACACCCCTCTTCCAGCTTTCCGATCATTCTTCCATGTGGGAAGTCATCCAGGTGATTTCTTCTAGCCATATTTCACAAACTGACTCACTTGCACTTGCAGCGAATATGTTGAATTGGATCTCCGTCCTTCCTTTTATTCTACTCTAGTGCTGTGCACACTGACATCACGCGTTTTGTGTATGCTCACTTCGCCTCTGACGTTTCGTTCCTGATATTTGCATATGTATGACGTTTTTACTGACTTACATGTTCATTGTATTGATCTTCAGACCTCCTTTTCTGCAATTTCATGCCTATCTGCTAAATTATTACATTGTTGCTTAAGTTTTGCACACCAGTTTATATAAATATATACAAAGTAGTAAACAGTTCAAAACTTATTCCAGTTACTCGCTGATAGCAGCAGAAAGTGGTGGTAATAATGCAAAGTAAAATGATAAGTGCATTTGAAAGTCATCCCATATTCAGTTCAGAGTAAACCATATGCAAAAACCAAAAATAGAAGTACAGTGGCAAACTGCTAGAAATGGGGGCAGAATATGGCAAAACCAAAAAGGAAAATGAAATTTGCATCTTTTGCTGCATCATCATCAGGAAGTTGGTGCAAGGAAAGAAGTAAATAAATAAAGTTTAAAATTTAAAAATAATGTTAGAAAAACAGTCAAAGTAATCTCTATTTGTATCAGACCAGCTCCTACAAGCTGAAGTAAGCAGTGCCAAAAATGCAAAATTATAGCATCAAAAACAAATTGAAAAAATAGTTGTAGATAAAGCCCAAAAACAAAACTTGAAAAATTAATAATTTAATACATGGAAAAACAGAACAATACACAAATTTTTTAATCCAAAATTGGAAGAAATAACAAACAAGAAAATGTAAAGAAAGAAACTTGCCAATTCATCCCATTTCAGAATCTGCAAATAGCAGGAATAGTAATTTATACCTCCTTATTTCTAATGCTGAAACCCTAGGTATCATTAGGAGGGCGTTGCAACAAACCTCATTATTGAATAGGAAAATAGCCCCTGGAACATTTAGGAAGAATATCACCTGTAAGTAAAATTTAAAATTAATTTTGGCCCATGTAAAAATTAAAATGTTTCATAACAACATCTTTAAAATGTATTATGTTTATATTCAGTAAGTTTTAGTAAAATTTAGTAACTCTTTTTACTTTTTTATGTTTAATATAATTGTTTCCTAGTTTACTACACTTCTCTTGTTGTACGTTGCATCGGGGAATTTCTTTCATATTTTTCAAAATCGTAGATTCAAATATTATATTAATTTGTATTTTTTTTTTCATTTGGCATAGAAGTTTTATTTTAAAATATGAAGGAGAGGAAATGCAATTAAATTGCAGTTATTAATAATTTTATGGAAAGAGATTCGCTTCCCTTGAAAAGTCGGGATTTTTCTACGAGATGAGCAATAATTAATCTTGCTTTTTATATGCTTTCTATTTTTCTTTTAAATTTGAGTTTTATTAATTTAATACATTTTCCACACTTTGCTTTCCACAGTTTAACAACAGTTATTAAGGTTTAACGTTTAAAATTCTCCGATTACATTAGTATTTATACTTCATTTTTTTAGGAGGTAATCAAAATTAATATTAATAATTAAAAGTTATATTTATAATCTTAGCAGCAGTAGCGCAGGATTTTAAGTCAATTTTTACTTTAATATGGTGTAATCTGTGATATCTAATTACTGTTATATGTTGATAGACCAATAACTTTGATAGTGGCTCAATTTGCATAAACATCTAAATGAGCTTGCTTATGAAGGAAAATTTTTGATTAAAAGTCTTCTATCAAATCACAAATGTAAATTTATGCATATTAAGATTTTTGGTACAATTCTATTATTGGGACCTATTAACCCATAGCAAAAATATATATGCAAAATCAATATAGCAAATGCGCCCATTTAACTACCATAAATTTAGATAATTTTATATTTTTAAGTTGCCATTGAAATATTGATTTAATTTTTTAATCGTTTTTTGATAATGCTATGGCTCTAACAATTTGAAAATCGGCCAAGGGCAGAATTTTTTCAAAGAAAAAGCATCATTTATGATAGAAAATTTTGCTCGAAGAACCATGTGACAAAATTGTGTTTTATCGATAGCTTAACAGCAAAATGGCGCTGCAGGAAAGAATCTTGTAATAAAGGGGAAAGGGTTAAGAATTTAGAATTCATTGTTTCCATTTTATTTCAATTCCTTTAGCTGGATTATAACAAAAATTATGGATTATTAAAAAAAGTGACGTTTGAAATTAGCCTTTCATTTAAATTAAAATAATATTATTTAATAGTTATTCACTGTTGTGTTTCCTTCCTTTTGTTAGATTTACCATAATTATTTTTTTGGCAGCATTGGCCTCAACAATAGTTTGGTGATTTTTTATGGCCCCGATAATAGAATTGTACCAGATTTTTTTTTAAACACAATTATAACCTCTGAATTTCCACAAAAAATATAGCTGTCAGAAGCTAGATAGAAATCCTAGTCACTTTAAATGAACTAAACTCTGAAAATTGGTTTTCTGCATAAATCATTTACTGATGGTGTATTAGTTATTAATGATTTAAATGTAAAATTTTATTCTTTTCCCATCGGCTTTGATATTGTCTTGATATCATGTACTAGGTTTTCAAGTTACTGCTTTTTTAAAATTTTATTTTTACATATTCATGCTTTTATATGTATATATAATGGGAAAAAAAAAAAAAAAAGATTTGAAAGGGGGGGGAAAGATTTTTAAATACCTTCTATTAGTTGTTAAAAGAGGAGTTTGCATTTATAGAGCTTTTCAAATGTAATTTTATTATTCAGTTATGTCGGAAGTTGTGTGGATTAACTATCCATACTTCTCAAGATATAAAGATTACTTGTAAATTTCTTCTAAGTAATGTTTATTTTCTTTTAACTACAAGATGGATTATTGATATTTTTATTACTATTTTTTTTTTTTTTTTTTTTTTTTTTTTACTGCTGTGTAAATTTGTGCATTGTATTTTATAATGAAACTTAACATGAGCTATAAACTAAATGTGCATTATTATGTGTTTAAGTAGTATAAAATTGAACAGTAATAGTTGTTACCATTTATTAGTGCCCTAAAGCATCTTGAGAAAAATTTATGTAGGAAAAGTACACTTAAAATTTTTGAATTTTCCTTTCTTTTTCGTAGTTATTTTGTTATCTGATCAGAATCTTTTTTAAAAAGCTTTTTAACTTATAAGAAATAAATAAATAAAAAAAAAAAAGTTAAGAGTAATTATTTATATATAAAATGCTTTAATATAGAAGTGATAAAAACTTATTATCATCCCTGACAAATTGAAAAATAAAAATGAGTTTGTCAATAAAAATCGTCTAATAAAAATAATAATAATAATTTGTAAAGCATTAAATGTGCAATTAAATAAATTAGAATTTTAAGGTGCTTAGCAAATTATATGAGTAATAGTAATTTTTAAATAGTAAAAGCAAGCATTTATTGTTGGTGTGCAGAAGGAACTGAATGAAAGAAAGGGAAGAAGGGTTAGGGAAGAACTACCTAGAAGAAAAAATAAAGAACTATTATGATAATCTATCATAATTTAATTATGATATATGATATAATTATATCATAATTGTTCATTTAAAGTAAAATACCAATATTACTGCTAAATAAAGTGATAGAATCAAAGGATCATTTGATTTTACAAAATTGATTCCCTGAAAACTTAAGTTTAAATTTTAATTCGGATTTAAATTTTGTATTGCCCTACCATTTTAAAAATTATTTAAAAAATATTTTTGATACATACACATTTTATACAAATGTTATATTTATGTATTATCAACTACACAAAATTTGAAGTTCAATCTGTATATTTATTTGGCAATCTTTAGAGAATTGTTTAACTATTGAAAAGTATGATATTAAATTTGTGTAATATTGTTTTCTTTTTTAGATTCAGAGTCCATTAAATAGAGATCAAGCTATTTACGCTAGAGATGCGTTGGCAAAAGCCTTGTATGAACGCCTTTTCACATGGCTTGTGGCTAAATTAAATGCTTCTTTACAATCAGGTGTAAGTTTTCATGTTCAGACTTACAATGTTAAATACATATTTTGAGTGAAGTCTTTGCTTTTTATTTTCATTTAGAAGTGCATAAGTGATACTTCTCCATGAGCAAAGTAGTGTAAATTTTATACATTATTTGTAAGTTTGTACTTAATGTGATATTTTAAAACCATATAATATTTTTCAATGAATTATTTACTATTTTTTAAAATTACTTATGCATACCAATTTCTATAATATTTTAGTAAAATTATTGTATGGGTGTAGTGATGATGCAGAACTTGTTTTACAGTGCACCTTATCTATTTCAAAGTGGGGCTTGTTTCAAAGTGCATGATATTTACATTTAACCATAAATTTTGCAGTTATATATATTTTTTTCTAGTATGGGCTCCTTAGAAGTAATTACAGGCTAAATGTCTAATCCTTTTTGCATTGTTTTGATGATTTATACAATTTAAATATTGCATATTTAGTAGATACAAGTTTTCCCAGTAACTATTACTTTTTTTCCCAAATTTTACAGTATTTGAGATAAGATACAATATCTTTTCAGTGTACAATTTTGGAACATTTGAGGTTGTAAATTTCTTTATTGTTGCTGCTTGGGAAACTATATATATTACTAAGAAATAATTAAACTGAAATGGGGTTTAACAGTCTGACAGAAAGTCTGTGCATCAAAATTGAAACAAAAACAAAACAACTCGGTAGAATAACATAATAAAAATAATATAACAAAATTTTGACAATTCTGGTCTTTTTCAAGGAGCAATCAATGAATTTTCAGCAGAGCCATGTTTCTGAATTATATGTGAATGATTGTAAATTCTTGAAATAATTCAAAAGTGTCAAATAAAAATTAAAAAATTAAATTAATTCAGAATGAAATTTTAAATTATCCAGATGTAATTCAAATACGTGGTTCTAATAAAAATTCTTTATGTACTTGAAAAAGACCAAAGAATTTTCAACAATTTGCTATATTTTATGTTAATGACTTGTTTTTTTGTTTCAGTTTGGATGCAAGTATTTCCTGTTAGACTATTTAACCTCTTGTTTTGATTGAATTATTAGTTCTTGATTATTTTATTAATTTCGCAACATATTGTATGATTTTTTTAGTAGTTTGTAATCTTAATTTGAAATTTCTAAACTTTTGTTTATAATACATATATTAGATACATTTATTCAGTTTGCTTCAGAAAGTTTTTCTGTTAGGTATACTCTTAAGCATATGTAAATTTTTCTTCATAATTTTGATATTTTGTTGTGAATTCAACATTAGTGACTGAAATATGCTAGTGGTTATAAACTGAGCCTTAGCATTCAGTGCAATTACTGTATATCTATAAACTTAAAATAAATGTTCAAAGCATTAAAAAAAGGGGGGGGGAAGCATGCTAGTATTAGAGAAATTTATAATTCTGAAGAGAGATTTTAAAAAAGTCTGAAACAAAATCTCTCCTAAAGAAGCAATGTCAGAATGAAATAGAAATTTAATGTTTGAAAGAATTAATATAAATGGGAATTAGATTTTTTAGTATTTTGCTAGCTCTGCAGAACCTAGTAACTGATTATTAATTGTAAAATTTGTAAATGAAGCTTGTTTTGAAAATGATCCAAGATTTCAAAAACTGTTTCAGTATAAATTGTAAATGTGAAATGTTTATATGTAACTGTATATACAGAGAGAGAGACACACATGCACACACACACAGAGCAAAATTTAAAAGCATTAACACGATGCAAGAAAGAAAAGGAAACAAAGGGCAAATTAAGATACAATGACAGGCCAAACAAATATTAATTTAGAAGTCAAACAACAAAAATCAGTGTTATATTTTCACAAGACTAGTTTCCATGGTTGTACCGAACCATCATCCTCAGCTGCAAAAGCGCAAATGAACGAGATAAGATATAATGATGAGATAAGATAAGAAAGCAGTCTGGAAAGGAGGTAAGCTACTGGCACCATCTGTTGATGAAACTAGAACTAAAACATAATTTCTTTAAAGGCTGAAAGCAAAGATGGATTGGAATTAGGGTCGTTAACTAGAACAGAAAGATTTTTTTGAATGTGAAATGCCTTTAGAAAATCCAGTTCACCAATGGAAGATGTCTTTTGAATAATTTTGGCAGCAGAAAAATTGAAAGTGTGATTTTTGGACCAACAATGTTGGGCAACAGAAGACTTCTGTGTTTCCTTTTTTCTAACACATGCCTCATGTTCCTTAACACAAAATTTTAAGGCTCTCTTAGTTTGGCCAATGTAAAAATTAAACCACGCTGGCAAGGAATCCTGTAAATACTTTGAAACTTTAAACTTCCTGTTATGGTTCCGCACATAGATGATACTTTTTTTCTGTTTGAAGGTAATAAAGATGATTTAAATAAAGTTCTTTCAACAATGAATTCCATTGAATTTGAGACTTGCAATTCTCTTCCCTTTCTCGACATTCTGGTTACACATAACACATCCAACTTCAGTACTACTTCAGTTTACTGTAAACCTTCATCGGTTTGCCTTCCACCACACTTCAAATCATGTCATCCGACTAAACAAAAGTTAGCTTCATATTATTCCTATGTTTTCCGTGCTGTTCAAGTTTGCTCCTCGAAACTATCCCTTGATGAACTAAATTATTTAAAAGCCATAGCTATTGACAGGGTCTTTTCACCCCAACATTATTAATCAAGCAGTTAAAAAATTATCATCTCAACACACCAAAAGGCACACTCTTTGTTTTAGGAGATCATAAAAATTCTGTTGTCATTCCCTTCTTTCCATCAATTAGCTATAAAGTTGCATGTATTTTGCAGAAATTTAACTTTTGGGTCGTTTATTCTCCCATCAATAAAATTCCGAGTTCCATACTCAAGGACCTATATGAATTCCTGGGGTATTTACAGGATTCCTTGCCAGTGTGGTTTAATTTACATTGGCCAAACTAAGAGAGCCTTAAAATTTTGTGTTAAGGAACATGAGGCATATGTTAAAAAAAAGGAAACACAGAAGTCTTCTGTTGCCCAACATTGTTGGTCGGAAAATCACACTTTCAATTTTTCTGCTGCCAAAATTATTCAAAAGACATCTTCCATTGGTGAACTGGATTTTCTAAAGGCATTTCACATTAAAAAAAATCTTTCTGTTCTAGTTAACGACCCTAATTCCAATCTATCTTTGCCTTCAGCGTTTAAAGAAATTATGTTTTAGTTCTGGTTTCATCAACAGAGGGCACCAGTAGCTTATCGCCTGTCCAGGCTTTTCTTATCTTATCTAATCATTATATCTTATCTTGTTCATTTGCGTTTTTGCAGCTGAGGATGATGGTTCGGTAAAACCATGGAAACTAGTCTTAATTTGAAACTTAATTTGAAAATATAACACTGATTTTTGTTGTTTGTCTTCTAAATTAATAAAGGGCTAATATTATGAAAGCTTAAAATTTTCATATCATGGGCTTATAATAACTTGGAAAAGAGTAGGCACTCAGTTAAAAAAAGTATAGTCAAGAGAAATAGTTCAGTAAATACATATTTACAAATAAAACTATAAATCCTTTTAATTTATCCTTCTCTTATTTCAGTTTCCAGATAAAAAAAGTCAGATTTTGTGTTTTTCCTTTTCTTTTTTATATATTTCTGTATTTCTATAAAGTGTTTCTTCTGGTTTAAATACACTGAGTTGATAGTTTTATTTACAATTAATATTTAAGCAGCATTTTGCATGGAAATGATATGGGATATTTGTTGTAAAAAAATTTCTATATTATATATATATATATATATATATCTAGTAAATAAATTAAACTATAATTTTTAAAAGAAGAATAAAATGCGTAAAACAAATAAAAATTATTGATAGTTATTCAAAAAAACTTAACATCATAGCTAGAATTTTAGAAAATTATTTTATGTGTCATTTAAGTGCCTGATTGAATATTGATTTTAAATTAATGTATTATATATTTATGCTTATTTTTACTAATACCTGTGTCATTTGTTATTTTTAGACTAAAAAGAGGAAGACTTTAATGGGCCTGCTAGATATTTATGGTTTTGAAATATTTGAGAAAAACAGGTGAAATAATTCTGAACCCTTTAATAATGGAACAGTAGAGAAAAGGGTTGAGGAATATAATCTTGAATATTTTATATTGTAAAAATAAAATTAGGAATTCTTTTGTAAATGTTTCTATGCACTCTTAATATAGTTTAAAATTGAGCCTTTTTTTTTTAACAGCTATTAATGTTCTTTCTAGCAAGTGATTATAATACTTACTCACTTGACATTCTATTACAAAATTTTATGAGTTTTTTAATTGGTAAATTGTAATGCTAATAAATTTTTCAAATTGTTATTTAATAAGGTTTTTACATTATTCTTAGCTATTGTTTTTAAAATGAAGTTATGTTGAAGTAAATATGTTATTGAAACTGATTAAAAGTAAAGTAGAATTCTAGAAGTTTTAATGACATTAAAAGGTTTCTCTAATCTAAATATGAGAAATATTGACAAGGCATTCTAATTGCTTGTAAGGAACTGGAGCAGGAAAACTTGCAAAAGGATCCCTCTTTTATTTTTGATTGCTTTAAAAAACATAAAAAATGAACAGGCATTTGCATACAGTACATACATTCTGCTCAGTAAATACACATATATTCATATACAGTACAAAATCCGAGATCCGGACTCGTCGGAACTTTGTCGATTCCAGATTTGGGATTTTTCTGGATATTAGATCATCAGTTTAAATCTAGGAAGATGGCATATAGAAATTAAAAAATTAAAAATATGAAATTCTGATTTATGAAATGATGAAGCATTTATGGTCTAAAGGGTATTAAAATTAAAAAAAAAAAAAAAGGCTTAATATTTGTTTACTTCATTAAACATTTCTTTCAATGTAAGTTGTTTAAGTTGCTTCTTTTTTTGTGCTAATACTTTTCCTTTTCTTCTGCTGACAGACATAATTTCTTGTTGAGTTACAAAGTTCCATTGTTCAAGTCCTGTAATTGCTGTGTCAAGAATTCCAACTAACTTGTCAATTGAAATTTTTTCATTTTCAGCAAACTCTCTCTCTCACTTTCTTCAGTATCGGTAGCGGGTTTTTCTGGATTTAGAACCATACTACAGATTTTACTGTCCGTTAATTGGTTGATGATTGGGGCATTATCATCACAGTGAAAAACTTCTGTTATATTATTTTCATTTATTACCAGTTCTCCATATTTCTTTACAAAATACATTAATTGGAAAATTCAGTTTGCGATATCCGAAAACTTTCAGATTCGTGGCTATCATCTTCATCATCCTTACCATGAAATAATGGTAGCTGGCCATACATTATGCCAAGCATTAAGTATCTGGAGATACATCCTCCCATGTTCTTGCAATGCTCCACACAGCAGCTTTTATGCAAAAATATTAAAAAAAATTCTTGAACAGTCTTGTCATTATTCAAATTTAACATGGATTTTAAAAATGCTACATTATGTTTGCATTTCACCGCATGCTGTATTACTCCTGCACCATAGGCTGAATGATGGACGCACAGTTTGGAGGAAAGAAATAGTATAGATATATTATTATCTTTCGCTAAAACTTTAAGTGAAGTATGAGCCGAGCAGTTGCCTACAATCAGGACAATTTTTGCATCTTCAGGTAAAGGAACCGATTTGAAATGTTGCCGATCTTTGGGTATGAAACGATTTTCAAACCAATCATTCATTAATGCTTGCGTCGTCCATGCTCTTTTATTTTCGCAATATATAACAGGGAAATTCTTAAATTCTTTAAATGCTCGATCTCAGGTATTTTTTCCGATTAAGAAAAGTTTACATTTGTGCGTTCCTGCAGCATTTGCACATGCTAAAATTGTTAGTTTCGGTTTGGAATCTTTGACACCACTTAGAGCCTATTCTTTAGAGTTCGCCTAGGTATTTCATGGTAACATATTGCCAAAGTACACCAGATGAAATTTGTTCTGGAGATATTTTTTCACTATTAATAAGTTTAATGAATTCATCTGCAAATAGTTCAGCAGCTTCAAGCTTTTTCACTTGAAATTTTTAATTGCTTTATACCATGCCGATTTTTAAATTTGGTTAACAAACTGGCGAGTATGTGCACTCAGTTTTTAAGTTCAAGTCTTCATGAAATATTTTGGCTAGAGCCATTAGCCATGTATCTGTCAATAGCACGCCCTTGCTGCAAATCTGTCTGAGCCATTAAATCATACTTTGTTATAATCATCAATTCGAGCATAACAAATAATTTTTCTGTTATTCATTCAGAGTGGGGTGTCAGAATCACAATAAATTCCTTTTTCTGTGTTCTTATGTCATATACAGTTGATTTTCCAATGTCATACTATCGCATATTTTCCAGACGGATATACTTTTATCCATTTTTCGTAGCAGTTCCACTTTTTGTTTAAAGGACATTAAAACATGCTTCCATTTTGTAAAGCCTTTTGCAGCTCCAGAATTAGAATTCTGCCACCGGTGCGGCCATACGAGCTCTGGCACCGGTTCTGGGTGTATGTGAATAACAAATCAGTTATTTTTAATTCATATAGCACTAAATGTAATCTTTTTGTCTATGAGTATCATTAACAAAATTTGTTTTTACCATATGGAAAGAAATTTTTGTTAAATTTTTCCTTGTCAACATTTCTTGGCACATTTAACTTAAATCTGTAATCGTTACCAAGCGTAATGTCAACATAAAAGGTTACCATACTTTTTGCTATTTAATTAATAATATAAAAAAATTATTTAGGCATTGCTGCATGAGTCATTACTCAAGTTAGGTGTTGATAAAACATGCATTGATGAAAGCAAAATATAATAATGATTCGTCAGGTTGATGTCAGGTATATATAATACAGGTATGAAAGTTTTCCGCATTTTCACGGAATTCCGCTTTTTTGAACATCACCCGGGCTGTTTCTGAGATCGATGCAGAACTGTTGAGAAATCGCGACTGGCAAAACGTGGGGAGGGGGTAAATGGAGGACATGCTCTCTCTCTTCCTCTTTTCTTTGTAAAAAAACTTTACATCATGCCATTGTATAATATTACGCCGGGTTAGCGATCAAACACGCGCACCCCTTTTTGCGAACTTTTCGAGTTTACCCGAGCCGAGATCGGGAAATACGTTGTTTCACATCAAGGCGAAGTAGGTGGGGCTTATGTGGAAAGGCGTAACTAGATGCGTACGAATATCCAATCAAAGAAGAGCAAGCAACCATCAAACGAGAGCTGACTTCAATAATTTCAGCGATCGGTGCTGGCGCCATCTGTCGGACATACGAATAACCACTTGCATTCTCCAATACACAAAACTATGTAAAAATTTAAGGAATGCTCATAAACTCTACAAAGAAGAGCTAGAGATAGAAAAGGAGGAGTAAGAATCTAAAAAAAAAAAAAAAAAAAAAAAAAAAAAAAAAAAAAAAAAAAAAAAAATTAAACATTGCAGAAAATAAAGAAGAAAATAAAAAAGTATCAATGGATTGTATAAAAGCTGCTGAAAAGAAATTGAGACAAGCTCGCAAACGGAAATTAGAAAAGTTGGCTGCAAAAGTAGCAAAAAAGAAAAAGCCTTTTCCTTAAAAATTTTTAATCAGGATTGAGTGATACTGAGACAAAATAGCTATTTTTTGTATTCCTCCTTTAACTATATGTTATTTTGTAACTATATTATCCCATATGACTACTTTTTCTGGTCTTATATAAAGTATTGTTTATTGAGCTAAAAGTGAAGGTAATTGAGATGTATAGTAACAGTTATATATATATGTATTTTATCTCTAAAACTTGCCATTGCTTGAAAATGGGCAGTAATATATAACATAAATATGTATATTAGTGTGTTGTAATGTTGTGTACAGTATTCATTTATCAACTGTTAAATTAAGTTACATGAAGAGCATCTTAAAAAAGGTTAATTCATTACAATCTGTTGGTGATTTATTGATTTTTTTTACAAGATAAAATTAATAACAAAATAGTAAGTACAAGTATTATTTTAGTTTAATTATATGTATATGTTTAATGCTTTTTATATTAAAAGGTTGATATTTTATTAAAATGTGTTTTTTTTAGGTTGCGCATGCGCAGTTAGTTTTTGTGCAATTTTGTGTTCGCACGTTGTTCAGCTTTTTCTTTGCCAACTTGCACTTTCATGCCTGAAAATATTAATAGTGTAAAATCAAAGATAATGTTTTGGTTTGAGATGTATGCCATGCAGATACACAACTATGGAGCCAAATTAATGATCACACAAATTTATGCCAAGACGATTGTTTCTTGAATAACAAGGTATTTTATTTAGTGCCGAACTGAATTTAAGAATCGGAACTCTCCACATGTTTTATTATTGGGGGGGGGGGGGAATCAAATGTGCATGCATAAAGCATACCAAAAAAAAAAAGGTTGTTGGTGGCTTTGAGGTCCAGATTTTAGATCATTCCGGATTTTGGACGTCCAGACTTTGTATTATATATGTATTTACTGCGCACAATGTCAGTACTGTATGCAAATTCCTGTTCATTTAAATGCACGCACACATATATATTTGCTACATGCAAATTATATTAAGGCATTTTTTTCTGCATATTTATTTAAAAAATTTAAGATTTTTCATTTATTTTTCAAAGCAACTTTATCATTGTTATATAGCTTTTTAAAGTTCATTTTTTGATATATCATGTAACTATATATAATAATTTCATGGTTGCAGTTTACTAAGAATATTATTACTTGTAGCTTTGAGCAGTTCTGCATCAATTATTGTAATGAAAAGTTGCAGCAATTGTTTATTGAACTCACTTTGAAATCTGAGCAAGAAGAATATAAAAAAGAAGGCATTGAGGTATTCACACTTTTATTTACAAAGCTAAACAGTTTTTATCTTATGTATATTTTTGATAGAGCTTTCATTTTTCTAATTTTGTTTTCATTTTGAACAGTGGGAGCCAGTTGAATATTTCAATAATAAAATAATTTGTGATCTTGTAGAAGAACGGCATAAAGGGATTATTGCTATTTTAGTAAGTATGAATATTATTTTATGTATAAATTTATTTTAATTTAAATGTCTTAAAATTTAGATACTAATTATTACAGTGACTATTAAAGTTATATTTGATATATGAATAGTATTTGTATAAGAGTATAATAAATAAATCCTTATTTTAATTTGTAATAGCCTCATAAATCTTCTGTTTAATTTGATCATTCCCTCTATCTATCCTAAATTTAGTAACATGCTTTTAATATCTTTTTTCATTTTGCCAATTAAAAATAAATTTTTATACAATGTTCATGATGTATGTATTTATATAACATCAAGAATAAATAAGTCTTTTAACCCATAATAATAAATTTTGCAAACCTAAAGCTTAATTAACTAATAGAAACAAAATGAAATAATGACTGTATTATTCTTAGCCTAATCTCTATATTGTAAATTATGCATATTTGATCTTGTTTGCTGTGCTGCTAACATATAATCCATCACTTATCTTTCTTACTTCATGCATATTATAAAAATGCAAAAATTGGTTAAGAATGGGTGTGCAGATTGTGGTAACTTAGGTGTGTTATCAGAATGTTTTGTCTAGAATAAATAAGTTTTTTAACCAACTGTGACTGCAAGTACATTTTTATGTGTCAGTGACATCATATTCTATGTCATAAAATTTCCAAAAGTTTCTTCGTATTTATATATTGAAATTACTTTTGCTCACTATAATATAAATAATATATACTATAAATAATGTAAATAAAAAATTATACTATAAATATATACTGTAAAGACAGAAAAAAATAAAAAATATCACTGTGTTGTGTTAAATGCAAACAGTTTTGCCAGTTGAATTACATATATGTATACTAAGAAATTAAATATCTAACAAAATTTTGACAATAGACCTTTAAATTTCTAATTTGAATTAAATGACAATCTTTATCACTTCTACACTGACGTCACTCTTTCCCTGCAGTATTCCATAGTGTTGTAAGCTTTTATCCAATCATTATTTAGAACTGAAACAAAGAATTTTCAAGTATAAATATTTCAGTATGTAAATACTTCAAGTAATATTTTAGTACAATAAGAGCACAGCTGTCTGGAAGGCTTGGATATGCCAAATGCTGGATACATAAAAATTCTGGATAGTTGAGTATGTAAAACTGCAGTTCATGATTTTAAAGCCAAATGAATGAAAAATTGGAATATGAAAAATTGGAAAAAATGAAAAAAAATTGGAATAATAAAAATCTGTTATTCAAATTATATATATATATATATATATATATATATATATAAGTCATCCTATTTGTGATCAACTTGAATATCTGAAGCCTATATACAAAGTTAAGCAAGATTTGGGAAAATGTCATGTTTCAGACATAGATTAATGTATTTTCTAAGGCCACAAACATGTTGATATAAAACATCTTAATAAGGAAATCTTGTCAAATATAAAAGCTGGCAGAGATCCTTAAAATTTAGACTTATCATTCCAGCAGAAGTTTGAAAAAGCAGACTGCTTTTTATTTTAGGCATACAGATATAGCATGTAAATTGCTTATAATTTTTTTGCACTACTGTGGTATTGTTTATATATATTCAAATAAAGTTATTTATTCATGCCCATTAATGCACATTTTTCTCAATGCCCCAGAATATTGCAACCTTGAAATTTCTCTATCGCATGCTGTTTCACAGAAGTCAGTTTTTTAATCTTTTTTTTTTCAATATGTGACAGAAAGATAACAAGCAATCATTTTATATCTCCCTGTACAGAAACTAAACTAGCTTAATATAAAACTAAGGCAAAGATCTTATAATTTCAATTATCCATAACTGATGCTAAATCGCACTGTTTGGTGTTATTTTTCTTTGACCAAAATGATCTGATGTGTGTCTATGGGAAGTGTTCAGTTTCAAGGACACTTCTTGGAACAGTAACAATAGATACAATGGTGGGAGTGAGCACATAAGCAAAATCTTCTGAAAGAGAGCTGTATAAATGTCCTTACATTTTAGATGTTTTAAGATAGATTCTGAGTAGTAGTCTGATACATGTTTTATAAAGTCTTTACACATCTCTAATTTGTATAATTTTTCACTCAAAAAACTTTATGTATAAACATACTATATTTAAAATGTTTAAAGTGTGTTATTATCAAATGGACACATTCCATATGATATTCCTAATATTAAATGTTACTGTTATTCTTTGAATTGTGCATCACATTGCAAACGTATCATTTTTCAAATTTCTTATATTTAATTTATAAATTTAGGCAATTTCACATTGTTTTGCTTTTTAGACACAAGTAGTTGAATTATATTAATCTATTTTACTTCTTGGAGTAATCTTTGCTACTCTTATTTTTTATTGAATTTTCATAATTTAAAACTGTAATGAAATTTTAAAGGATGAAGAATGTCTTAGACCTGGTGAGGCAACAGATGCAACTTTTCTCTCAAAGCTGGAGAATGGAGTAGGAAAACATCCTCATTTTATTTCTCACAATACTGCAAGTGGCAAGTTAAGGAAAACTATATCTCGAAATGTAAGTTGTTTTGTTTTTCCTGTATGCGTACCTTGATTATTTACAAATTTAAACAATTTCTCCTCAGATCCTCCACTGTTGCATTAGACATTAGGTAAATAGTCCTTGAGTGCTTTGCTTATAGATATTCCAGTAAACTCGTTTTTATTAGTGTGCAGTTCATATTGCTTGTTGTTAAAATTTGTTTTTGAAATTCAAATAAGTTATAAATTTAAAAATGACGTATTTTATAAAATCTTTCAAAAAGGATTTATTATTGCTCAATACTGAAATCTCCTTCGCTCTCCTTCTAAAAATTAATTTGTTCTTGTTTTACACTAACTAGTAGATATTAGACTCCAGGGATTATGACGGTATTTTACCGTGGGAGGTCTGTAAGCTCTGAGACATTAATCACAGATTATTTAAGACGTTGAGATTCAAATCTAATTTTTTTCATCTAGCTTTTCTCGACATACCATTTATCTTCTAATTATGTGTTTTTCGTATATCTTTGGAGATATGCATAATATTTTTTTAATCATTGATGCATTTTTTTATGCACTGTGCAGTAGAATTTAATTACTTGTATATTGAAATGAGAACTGCACTTATTCCATCTTATTTATAAGATGGAATCTTTTGTATACGATATATCAAAGTTTAATAGTTCAACTAGAAAAAAAAAATCAGTAACTATTGGATATCATCAGAAAATATTCAATTGGGCATTATTTATTTTTCAAAGTTTATGCACAGTAGTAAATAATTGTAAAATATTGTTATATTGCTGGCTATCCAAAATATGGCACACTGAAGAATAACAAGTATCAAATCCATGTTTACTAGATAAATAATATAAGAATGAATTAAAATTACAACTTTTTTCATCTTGTAGAACATGAAGAATTCAGTATTTTATGTAGCCACCATAATAAGCAATAACTACTGTGACAGACATTGGCATTGAAAGAAAGTCTTTAGATGTATGCTTTAGGTGATATTATTCCATGCTTTTTCCACATGTTGCCAAAACATGTCCCATGAGCCACATATCAGGACAATGGGCAAGACAAGGCAGTAATACTACCTAGTGGTCAATGAAAAATTGTTGAATGTTGCATGTCACATTCAGTCACACTTTGTTCTTTTGAAACTTGGTTACAGACAAACCTTGAAAGCAAGAGAGGACAAGCTCCAAAACTTCAGAGATGCTGCAGGATTGTTGAGTGTACTGGCATAGTAGAAAGGTGCACAAGTTAAATCTAATGTCATCCACAGCAGTGACTCCAGGTAATAGACTGATAGGGTGAAAAATAATAAAAGGTTGTGATGTCTGTCATGTATACTGTCAATGATCTAGGCATGATGCAGATTTTAAGGGGTCCATGACACTTAGCTGACAAGACAGTTAGCTGACAGGACACTTAGCTGACAAGACAGTTAGCCGACAGGACACTTAGCTGACACGGACAATTAGCCAACAGGTCATTTAGCCGACACATCATTTAACCGACCAGGACAGTTAGCCGACAAGGACTCTTAGTTGACAAGACATTTAGCCAATGCAGAGAATTAGCTGTCAGGACATCAAGCTGTGGGACATTTAACTGTAGAGACATTTAGTCAACAGGACATTAAGCTGACATGTACCCAATAAATACTTAAACTTACTATCAGTTACAAAATTTTTCAACTACTCCGTAAGTTCAATATTTAAGTAATTTTTTTCACCTATCAGTAAAGTTTATTTTTAGGCTCTTAAAGATCCCATTTGTAATTTTAATTCTTGTGTAATTTAGCATAGTTTGATATATTGTGCCGTTTGGTGTATATTGGCCAAATTGAAAAACTGTTGAAATTTCTCGTTGGGGAATATGAGTTAATTTTCAAAAAAAAAAAAAAAAAAAAAAAAAAAAAAAAAAAAAAAAAATTTTTTTGGCAGAGTACGAGGGTCACTTAATTGCATTTTAATATGGGATCTGCAAAAATTGCCCATGAAGCTTCTTCATTTAATCAACTGTGTTCCTTTGAACACTTTCAAATCATTAATAATTTTTCTTGCTTACTTAATGATATTAATTTTCCAATCTCACTCTTCCTAATGCTTTCAAATATCTAATACCTTTACATTTCATTTCTCTTTTGCTCAACACATCATGCTACATTCCTTCCCTTATATAATCGTTTTGCTCGTCCCACTACTGAAATTTCCTTTCCCTGTCATGAACAATCTGAATAATGCAATAAAATATTATTATTTTTGAATTATGCTTTTTATAAAAATTTTGGCAGTGAAGGATTAGTTTAGCAAATATATTTCATTTTGTTATTAAAAACAATTGAAAAAGAGAATTTTTAAGACAAGCAAAGCTTTACATTATTTGCGACCTCTATAATAAGAAGGTCATGCCACCACGATATATATATGATGCCTTAAAGTGTAAATAGCATTCTGAGGGTGTAAATGGTATTTCAGGGGAAAAAAAAAGTAGTTCCAGTGTGGCGAGGAGTAGGACGAATCACACTCTACTTCCTGTGAGGGAAAGGAAATTTCGGTTAGAGTAGACTGAAGGGTACCCCTCGTATTATTGCGAAGTTGTTGTTTAATTTATCGCCAAGTTGTTCCTTCGTTTATTGCCATGTTGTTGTTTCATTTATGGTAACATGAGTAGTTGAATGTTCCGTAAATATACTTTTACCTAGAATTGTGTGCTCCTTTGAATTTTTAAGTGAAAATGTATCAATGTGTACATAAATAAAGTCAAGGGAGCACACAATACCAAGTTTGTGCAATTCTCTGATGTTTTTTAAGTGAAATAGGTCGATGTTTACATGGATAAAGTCAAGGGAGTGCGCAATACCTAGTTTGTGCAATTTTGTGATGTTTTTTAAGTGAAAATAGGTCGATGTATACATGGATACCGAGTTTGTGCAATTCTTTGACTTATTTTAATTTCGCTACACAAAGCCAAAATAACAAGAATTGCACGGCCAAAAATCGCCACTTTTTGCCATGGGGTACCTGTAAATATACTTTTACCGATGAGTTCTTCCTTAAATTTTCATGTAGCTACACCTTTTGCACATCCTATAAAATCTGTTATTTAGACTTCTGCTGTTCCTCTCATACTATAAATATGTGTTGTTTATTAGGATGGCTCCAAATCCATTGAGTTTAGGTGTGAACCTCGAATAAAGCAGGGATATTTATGGCTATAATATCATCTATCAATTCAAAAGTTCTCATGGGATATATCTGGTTTTGGATTAACGGGATGAGATACTCGAATTCCATCTCCAGGAAACCTATCATCCAAATTGGGACTGAGCTCAGGCAATTAGCCTTCTTGTGCTTTGCCTAAATCAAAAATCTAATCTATTCCTATTAAGAGACCTTTTTTTAAGTGAACCTGCACTGCAGAAGGATTTGACATTACCTTTGCCCCCCTCCTGAATTACTTTTCATTCATCATAGTACCATGTAACATTATTATTTTAAATCAGCATATTCATTTCCACCTTCCTTCACTTTATAACCAACAAGCAATAGAAAACATCTTCTACAAATAATTTTTCCGGTACTATTCTATTTTGAGGGCCGTAAAAAAATTGCAGCAAAAATGTACGTGCAAAAGCGCCAAATCTTGCAAATGTGCCTATTTAACAGCCCCCACATCTAGCCTACGCGCTGATTTCAGATTGCGTATGTTTATATAGTTCTATATTTCTATATATATATATGGACACTGAGTTTGTGCAGTTCTTTGACTTGTTATTTTGGCTTTTTGTAGCAGCGATTTTAGGTACGCAAAGCCTAAAACATAGCAATAAGTCAAAGAATTGTACAAACTTGGTATCAATGTACCATCAAAAATCCCGAATTTTCGCCGAGGGGTACCCGTAAATATACTTTTACTGAAATTTCATTAGTGAGGGGAGTTCTAGGTTTGTTCATGGAAATTATTTATACGGAATGAATGTAGCATGATATGTTGAGCAGAGTAGTAATGAAATACGAAAGTATTAGAAATCTGAAAGGATTGGGAAGAGTGCATAGTCGTTTTAATGTCCTGTCGGCTAACTGTCTTGGCAAAATGTTCTGTCGGCTAAATGTCCTGTCTGCTAACTGGTGTCGATTAAATGTCTCGTCGGGTAAGTGTCTGCGACCAGATTTTAAGCCTGCTAGATGCTTCTTCCATGGTGCTACATTTTGGATGTTCAGTGGTGTGTTTGAGTGAAGTAATCTATAACTTTTAATTCCTCTTTCATGTTTTTTAATAGTTATCATAAACATTCGTAACAGCAATAAATATATATGTATTTAAATCTAACTTTTTATTTTTCATACTTTGGTTAATTTTTAAAAAATACTTCCAAAATTCTTGCTTAGCATTTTCACTTAGTAATGTCAATTATTAATGAGTTTGATTTGAGAGATTGTAGTACAGGGATTTAGTAGAGTTTATTCTGAGTCAACTGTGAATTTATGATATTTCTGATGTGCTAAGGAGGTTTTACCTGATGTCCATGTTCTTTTTGAGCTATTTACTTCTATTCATTTTGCTAGATATATTTACTAATTACAATGAATGGCCAATTTCTTCTTGCTCATCTTGAGTGGTCATTTAAAGGAACATTCATGAAACACATAGTTGTTCCAAAGAACTGCTGATTGTAAAATATTTAGTTTTGGCTTTCGTGTAAGTTCTTGATGAAAGTGATTAATTATTAGTATAGCTACAAATAAAATATAATCTGAGTTTCCATATCTTCCTTGTATTTAAATGAAAAACTTAAATAAAGTAATTGGTAGCTTAAATGTTTAATTGCTATTATAGGTTTTTTTTAGATGTATAACTTTAATTTTACTTTGATTTTTAATAGCTTGCCAGATGTTAATGCGAAGGTAAACATGATTTATTATTTTGTTATATATTTAATAAGCTTTTAATGCGTCTTTACTTTTTTAATTGAATTCTTAAGTTTACTGACTATTGCTAGTAAATATTCTAAACTGCCTATAACACCGATTCTATTTTTCATGATTTTAGTAGAATGCATTCTTAAATTTGCATGTAAAAATATTAAAGTTTTAGTATGCTTTTCTTGTGACTTGTAATGGAGATTTGTGCTTGTAGTTAATATTTATGTATATATATATATACATATAAATAAATTTAGTTTCATAATAGTTTTTAAGGTATACTTCATTTAACAGGTGATTTTACAGGAAAAAGTTTGTGAGATTTCGAATACAGTTTTGGCATTGTGCTTTGTTTGTGTCTACTGTTTTTCTGATGTATATGTCTGCCTGTTTTTTTTTTATTATTATTATTATTGATGTAAGTTTTTTCATAAAAACTATGCCTAAATAATTATTAATAATATAACTAAAATATTGTTAGGAATTTTGCCACATGGATAGATGATTTTAGTGCAGTTATATGTGAAATTTTATTTTCCTGTGTTATGTAACACCTAGAGATACTGTTATTCTGTCAGAAAAATAAGGATTTAGGGGCAAGTCTGATGTTGCACAAATGGCTGTCTCATTAATTTGCGGATATTGCTAAGCTGGCAATGTTTTTAGCGACTAATTTTTTCTCAAATTTGGCAAAAAGTCACCAAAAGTCACTAAACTTAGCGACATTTCGGTCCAGCCCCTGTATCACTATAATAAGTATTGTAATTGATTTCAAATGCAACTGTAACCATACCCGGCCCTCATACACCTTACGGTAATTTCTATAAGTATAAGATATCCCTAGGTGGCCAGATGAAAACTATATAGGACTGGAGAAAACATCTGCTGTCAATTGTTGTTAGTTTGTTAGTTCAGGGCGAGTTCGGAGCATTGAGGTATCTCTCGGTTAGCTTCGCTCTTTAGATGCGCTTTGCATTATGTTGTGTTTTAATGTTCTTAGTGGTTTGAAGTGTGACTACAGATTGTACTCTGTGATGCTGTGAACATCACAGTGTATAATTAAATCCAATGAATAAAATGCCTCATCAGTGGCCGAGCGGTTAAAACTGCTACTCACTCGCAATTCGAACTGATTTGGTTTCAATACCAAGTAAATGGGCTAGCTACATGTATGATTTTCATGGTGTATCTCTCCATATGCAATGTGAATACAAGCCAGTTTTTCCTTAGAAAGTCCTCCACAAATGCATCTCTCCTCTTAGTTAGATAACCCTTGTTAGTTAGATAACCCTTGTTGCTTTGCTTTGCCTTGCCATGTTCAAATAACCTAACCTAATGAATGAATGGAATATTGTGTTTTGAAACTTTTTTAAAATATATTTTTCGCCTATTTTCTTATGTGTTTCTTATGTCTCAGTCTGAATTTTGCTTTAAATTAATATTTTTACAAAATTGTGTATTTATTTGAAATTAAATTTTAGTCTTTTGTTTGCAACATATTGGTGATTTTAACTTCAATGTTTGAAATTTGTTTCTTTATAAATTTCAGGAATTCCGATTGGTACATTATGCTGGAGATGTTACTTACAATGTTGAAGGTAAAGACAAGACAAATAAATAAGTAAAAGTTAAAAATATATGTTCAAAAATTGGAAAAATCATTAGTACCATGTCAAAGTCAGAAATCTGTAAAATCATAGATATATAAAAATTGTATATGTTTTGTGAACAATTGAGAGATAATTTCTGCATAATCATTTTAATATGTTCATCTAATAAAACATGCATCCGTGTCTTTTAAATATGGTCTAAAACATCAAAATATAACATAGAATGAAATTATTATTTTATTTTATCAGGTCATAAGCATTCTTTTTCTTATTGCAGTATTACTGGTTTTAATGCGTTCTTTGTATATCTTATTTTTGAGTTCTATTTTGTTTCTGAATCTTACAGAGTTATGGCTGTTTATTTTATGATAGTTTGCAGGGTTGGTAGCGGTCCTTACAAGTGCTTATAAGTTCTTATATTTTAAAATAAAATATAAAAGCCCTTATAGGTGCTTATTTTTTCTTTAAAGCCTTATTTTTTTTTTGTTTTTAGTGCTTATTTTTTGCTCTTAGTGCTTTTTTTTAATCCTTTGTTTTTAATGAACGTGCATTTCCCCCCGCACCAAAGCCGAAACTAAATAAACAACTTTTCTTCCTTATATGCTACGTCAGATGGTGAATCATACTCCTGGAAATTGCTTTTCCCCTCTTCCTCTGCATTAACGTAACCTATGGTGCGCGTGAGAGTACAGACAGGTGCACGTCGTTCTATTGGCCAAAGAATTGCGAAAACTTTAGAAAATTCCAGTACATTTGGTATTCTTTTCCTCCCACCCAAATACTACACACGTTTGAATTTCTATCAAGATTTTAATTATTTGCATTCTTGTTCCGTGTGGTCAGTTCATATTCGTGTTTATTGTGATCATTATACTTATATTATGAGCATATGTATGAATATTTATAATAATATAGTTGCAGTAACTGCTGAAGTATAGATAAACTTCCAAAAATGGGTTGTTTTTACACAGATTAGCTTTCTAAAGAATAATATTCGAAATGACTTAAATAAAAGGGAAGTAATCGAATAGTCAAAATAATTTCATTTTCTTTGCCAATACATTATACAGTACAGAGGTTGGGAGTTTCTCTGCAAAATCTCTAATATTGAGGCAGTGGCCTTTTTTTTGTCACTGTCTGATCTGGATTGAAAGGACTAAAAGTTTTTGCGGTCTACCCATCCCAAGCGAAGATGATTCTATTCCGGAAATTTAATACAGTATGTTGAAAATTAGAATGAGAAACACCCCAGATTAGTAAGTCTCTTTCTTTTCCTTTATTTAGTTCTGTATTCTCCAAATCGGCAGCTGTTGATTCCGATTGCGTAATATCGCGTATGGAAGAATTACGCCGCACATATTGCGCAATAATGTTTGGGGTATTTTGCGGAGATAATTAATTTTGATGTTCAGTCTGAGATTTATTTATGAACACTTAAAAGAGTTTTACTGTGCTTTCTAAGCAGAATATTTCTCAGTTCCGTTCGTTTTTATATGATGCACGTATCGAAATGTCAAAATCATTTATTTAGCCTAAATTTAAATCTAAAGAATGGCTACAATCTCCCCCACTCCTTTTTTTCCAGTTACTATCTGGAATATTCGGGAATTTCCGAGTATGCGGGTTAATTAAACTTTTATTGTTAAAGGATGACTGCATGAAGCAATTTCCCGTCTTCTGATTTCAGAAATGTGCCTCTTTTATACTTAAATTACTTTGTTTGGAATATATGTTAAGGGAAAACTGTTATGGAATGAAAATTTAGAAAAATTGATTTAAGTTAAATTATTTAAATATTAATATGAGTGGAAAAATAAATTGTATTTATTATAAGGTGCCAAACAAATACAATTAATATGGCTTCTTATATTATTTTCTATATTTTTCAACTGAAATATCATCATTAAATTTTGTAGTATAGTTGAGTTCTGCATAGTTTTTTCTCTCATTGTAAACTAATTCTGTAAATTGAACTGTCACTTAAAATTTAAATAATTAAAAAAAGTTAATTGTTTTTCATTGTTGAGGTAATGCTCATTCTCAAATAAAATATTGCATTGCTCATATTTTTAAATTACAAGTCTAATTTTTCTTTTAAGGTTATGCATTTGTGTATAATGTAATTAGACAGGTGCTTATTTTTTCCTTAAAATGTGCTTGAAAAGTGCTTATAGGTGCTTATTTTTTTAACTAAAATGTGGCTATGAACCCTGGTTTGTCTTATCCATTACTTGGAAGTTCTCTTGGTACCATTAACAGCGATACCTTGTGAAAAAATATATGATTTTTTATTGTTACTATTCATAAAAATTGTCCATAAAAAATCCATAAAAATTGTTAAATGTTATTGTGTAAGTTTTAATATGTTTTACGTTTGTTATTTTCTTCATGCATTTGAAAATTAAGGAAATTTAATTGTTATAAGCATTTTTTGGAATCGCAGAATATTGTTAAAAAGTTGGGTGTTTTCTTATTAAATGAAACTGAACATCACTGAAGAAAATTTTTATAAGTAACCACATTGAAAATTACAGCCAGAAGAGGACTAGGAAATTCAAAATGGCTGTTTTGAAACATATTCAACTTACTAATAAGTTGGATTATTTTCCAATAAATGTATGTTTTTTTTTTTTATTGTTGCTGTAAGTCACTAATATCAGATAAAATTTTGCTAAAAAAAAGCTGTGTAGGGGGGACAATTATGATGGAGAAAAATAGCTATAAAAATAAAAGGAAAACTGAAATCGGAAATTCCGAAATGAGCAAGTGAAGATTATTTGGATTGTTGTCAAAGCTACCTTGCTTTCACCTGTACGTTCCAGTAGTGTGTGAAACAAATTAGCAGTGTTATGGTGTTTTGAGATTGGTTAGTTAATCACTGCTTTCCTTTTGACTTAAATTACAAAATTTGCCTTAAATAGTATGAGGTTTCCATGAAGTACCTGAAAAAATTTTAACAGCTTGTTGTGAAGGAATGGAACACTTTTGCAAGCAAGGTGTAAAGTTTTTTGACAAGTGACAGAAGTTAACAAACTTGACATGCACATTATTTGTTGTGCACATAAGATCATGTCAGTATTCCTGCTTTATCCATGTATGGTACACCATGGTGTGATCAGTGGCTGTCTTTATGTCTGCACTTTAGAATGGGAAACAATATCAACATAGCCTCACAGAAAGAAGTTCAAATGAGTTATGTTAGGTAAAAATCATGGTGGCTGTGGAATGGGTCCATCCTTCCTGTTCCATTTGCTAGGGGAAGTTCTGTCCAAAAAATTGCAAACACATAATGCCCAGTGCGGTGGTCCACCATCCTACTGAAACATAACCTCTGATTGAGGGTACTTCAGATGTGGGCAAATGTAATTAAGTAAATGTATCAGTGTAAACTCTGGTTGGTATTGTTTGTTCATGGAAGAAAAAAGTGGTCAAAAAATCTTCTCATATAGCATCCAGCAACAAACATTCACTTTCAGGCTGTTCTGCTTCACTTCCCTTGTGACATGAGGATTTTCAGACCCTAAACTTCAATTTTTAAAACTTTAAAATCAATATGTGTATATTGAATCAGAACAAATCATCAGAGAAGAACTTTGATATATGTTTAATAAGACCACAAAAATTCACAGCATCACTTTTTATGGAGTGCTTACAGTAATAGGATAAATTTGTTCAGAGACTTTACATACTGTATTTTTTTAAATTGGAAGTTGTCTAAAACTTTTCATGTACATAATTTTTAACAGGACTTGAATGAAAATTCTGTTATATAAATTGTAAGATTTTGAATTTGAATATTTGTTTTGAATTTAATTTCTGTTCCATAGTTTATAATGAACTAATATACTTTCTTTGAAGGAACATGATGATGTTTTTCCCCTCATTCCAAAAAGTAAAATTTATTACACTAAAGATCTTCGTCTTTTACTAAATGTTGTTTACTATTCCAGCACTATTGTAAATTAGCTAAAGAACAGTAAAGCTGTTAAAATACTGAATGCTTTCTGATTTGATTTTCTGCCCTTTTAAAATATGTATGTTTTCATGATTTATGTATTCAAAGAACCAAATTCACATTTAAACAAGAATAATGTATTTCAGGCTTTTTAGATAAAAACAATGATTTATTATACAGAGATTTAAAAAAGGTGAGCTTATTTTTTATATCACAATTTGTAATACTGTGTTCTTTTGTATTTTCACTTTGTAATTTAAATTGTTTTATTTAAACAAAAAGTATTTTTGTTTTTATTTTTACCTTTAAACAGATGTATTATTAAATTTTCTATTATTATGACAAAAGTTTTCATTTTTCCTTTATCTCTCTCTCTGTATAATAATAGTATCTATATTAAAAGTATTTAAGAGGTTTTTATAACTGTGTGAAGATATACCAGAAATCTTCATTGTTGAAAAAGGAAATGAGAGAAGGATAGTAATGAATTTCTAAAGTAGTAGCTTTTTATAGTAATGAATTCTTCTTTTTTAAAATTAAAATGACATCATTGTCTTAGATCTGGCACTTGTTTTTGACTAACTTTTGGCCTCTTAATAACCACAGTCTCAAAATAACCACAGTTTTTATGTATCATATCAACTTTTTAAGCTACAGGATACCCTTTCTTTGTCTCAAGAGTCATAAAAAATATGCATATAAAGGAAATAAAAGGAAAACCAAATATACTTACAAAGAATAGTTTTATTCATTTGAAGACTATATATATAGTTACTGCAAGTTAAATTTTGTTCATACAAATAGTAAAGTTTTTTTACCAAATCGTAAACATACATATTAAGGTTCATTAAAAAAAAAATATGGCCTTTTTCTGGAATATTTAATCTGTGGATGTTCTCACTTAATGCTCCAACAACAGTCAGCAGTCATATCCCATTTACCTTGGTACCGTGCCTTCATGACCTTTAAATCTTGGTGTAATCACTCACCCTATTCATCACTGACTGCATCAAGATTTTTCAGGAAATTATCAAGAGATGGCTGTGTAAAAAATTGCAGTTTGATGCTCATGTTGCAACCAAGCATTTTGAAGTTCTCAAAAAGTTCAAGTTAATTTAAGGTGTCCTTGGCAATTAGAACTAGAGAAGAGTATACAGACTATTTGCTGTTCTTCTCACAACTACAGGAACAAAGTCCAAAGAAGAGTTAAAATATCCTTTTATTTCAACTCGAATAATAATAGTTGGCCCCCTCTCGAACTTACAGGAAAGCCTCTACTTGGGGTTAACAGTTGGAAATAAGAAACTAAGTTAATTCTAACTAAAATTTAGCCAAAGCTTTACAAAAATAATTAACCAAGTTGGCCTGCATTTAAAACTCAGCGGCAAATAATAACAGCCATGTAAAAATACAATCGAATGTAGCAAGATAGGCATAAAGCAAAGACATGGCCAGAAGGCAGAACATGCTCTATTGAGAGCTTCTGAGCTTTTCTGTGGAAGTGACTGAACTTCCAATTAAATACTGATTTTACCTCATTTACACAAAGGCCCACCAGCGGCCAAGCGGTAAAGTCGCCAAACACTAGTAGTTCGGTTTGAGGTTCAAATCCCGCAAATGGGCTGGCTGCCTAGGTGTTTTCATGGTTTTTTCCATGTGTAATGTGTATATGTGCCTGTTTCCCTTAGAACAGGGGTCGCCAAACTTTTTTGATCATCGCCCCCTATATAATTTTTTGAAATCTCCATAGACCCCACAAAGGTAATTTTCAGGTAATTAAAACTATATATTAGTATAAATATTTAATTAATCAGAAACAGTAAGTAAAGTAGCTACAGATTTTTTACTTCTTAATGAGATGAGTGTGCCTGGTGTTTCTTGGCAAGGTTCGCTATATTGGGTTCGAAATTAGTCAATTTTAACCGTACAATCCCCTCGAATTTTAACTTCCACATTTAATTTACTTTCTGTTTTTAGTTAAAATTGAATTAACGTGACTGAAATCGGCTTCAACCATATACGAACTTGGAAACACCAGCATAAATGCTGAGCCATTTTGTAAAATTTCACATATTTTTGCTTTATATTTATATTAGTCCAAAATTTATGTATTGTCAAATTTTTAATAAGTGTTTTTGCTTCAAGATCGGACAATAGTTCAGCAAGCTCATCTTGTATGTTGATGTCAACGTTATCAATTTGCGCGGAAAATGGCACAATAATCTAATCAGGGATGTCGATGTTTTCCAAATCAACAAAGCGCAGTTTAAAATGTCGCTTAATTTTTGAAGATGATTTGTATATATTTCCAAGCCGCCTTCTTTTATTTTTAATTGCTGCAGATTTGAAAAATACTTATAATCCTTACGTAGCAATGAAGATCTAAATAAATTTAATTTTACTTAGAAGCCTAACAGTATTGTCCGAGCTTGGATAATTGTTACATCTTTTCCTTGCAGTTTTGTTTGAACATCATTAAATTGTCCAAATAAGTCTGCTAAATAAAAAATATGGTTCTTATTGTTTTGGAGTTCATTGCTTAGAACAGGATTTATTTCGTTCAGAAATTCTGTGGTGGAGTCAAATAAATTGACGAGCCGTTGCAAGCATACACCTCTAGACAACCATCTAACCTTGGTGTGCAGAAGTAATTGGTTAAATAACTCATTGTTTTCCTCACAAAGTTTGGCAAATAATCTTGATTTAAGAGGTTGAGCTTTAATTTGATTAATAGATTTAATACAAAACTGTAAAGCTTCATGTAACTCTGAACTCAGATATTTTGCTACTAAGTTGTGTCTATGCAACACACAATGAATAGTATGAATACCAGGCACTTTTTCTTTGAGGCATGTAGCAAAACCTCGGTAACGCCTTACCATAGAAGGTGCGCCATCTGTGGCTACTGCTATTATATTTTCAAGCGGAATGTCATATTTATTTAAATATTCTTGTAAACATCTAAAAATTGTCACTCCCTTCCCATCGGTTTCAAGATATTTAGCAAATAAAAATTCACCAATGACTTCTCCTTTAATTTTACTGAAATATTTGACATACACCATAAGAATAGCAGAAACGCCAAAAACAGATTCATCAAGTTGTATAGAGAACTTGCAATTTTTTAGCTCCGAAACTACAGTGTTTTCTATTTCTTCGGCCATTTCGTCAATACGCCATTTTACAGAATTTGCACTTAATGGCAAAGACTTTGAAACATTAGTAGAGTCTTTTTTCATCACATTCTCAATGACGTCTTTAATTGCAGGTACTACTATTTCTTCTGCGATTGTGTGGGGTTTTCCCCTCTTTGCTATATTAAGTGAAATCTTGTACGAAGCAATTAATCCTCCTTCATTTTCAGTTTCAGTAGACTGTTTGTTCATAGAATGTTTCATAAAACTTTTTAGAGTTGGTCGACATGTGAATTTTTCTTTGAGTTTTTTGAAAAATTCTAATTCTTCATTTTTTTTTTTATCTGAATGAAGCCTTTCAAGACGATCTTTCATTTTTGATGGTTTCATGTATTCAATTTCCAAAAGTTTTTTCGCATATAAGACACATAGGAATAGTTTCATTTGTCGGTGAACAAATAAATCCAAATTTTAAGTAATCCAATGAATAATACCGACATTTCTTTTTAGATACTGAAGCTGTCATTTTTAAATTAGTGTTCTGTAAATAAGTTAAAATTAAGTTGGTATATTATACTAATCCTTATTATTAAAGCTTACCTTTTCACAAGTAACAATAATTAAAATTGATATCAAAACTAAACGAATAGTTTTTATAGAAACAATAACTAATTATCCAATGGTAGAATGGTAGTAATAATGACACTACAAGCATTTAATACTGTTCACAGTTCACAAGGATAGCTGAATGCATATGATATTTGCGTTTGTAGCATCCAGTGTAGAATTGGACAAGCGCACATATGCATCTGACTCATATTCAAGGCTCGTAGACAAAGGGCACGATGGAGACAAAGGGCGAACCAACGACATGATGCGTAACTGCCGTATAAAAAAGGAAAAAAACTAAAAGAACTAAAACCACACACATAAGAAGAAAGAAAATGGAGTACTGAAGATTCCCTTCGCGCTTAATGCATAGAAAGCCAACGGCAGTGTCGTCGCTCGCCAAGTCTGCGCCAAAGGCTCCTAATTGGTTGATGGGTTCGCCAGAAAGAGACACGGATAAGCCTCAATCGCTCTTCTGGCTACATACTATGAGTCGGGAAAATTACAAACTGGTCACAAGGTCAAGTTGTGACGTCACGGTATACATACGAAAACCCATAAGGAAAAAAGGGGCAGATTGTTTTCTGATTTATTATTTTATTTTCTATAAAGAATATAATATTAAGTTAATTATAAAAATATTTTAAATTTTTACGTACGCAGTTAGATATGTGTGATTTGCGTATTAAGAACTGTTTTTCCTTCGAGTCCCAATAGACCCCCATTCGACCCCTACTGTTGTTAAATAGACCCCTAGGGGTCTATAGAGACCACTTTGGCGACCCCTGCCTTAGAAAGTCCTCTTTGAAGGCATCCCTTCCCTTAGGTAGATAGCCTTGGAGGCTTTGCCATAATAACATAAACCAAAATCATTTACATAAAATGCAATACTGAAATCTCATTTTAGCAGGGAGTTGTAGGTGGAATAGAAGAGAAAAAAGGAAAGTGTTTCAAAATTAAAAATTACTATTAGAAAATTAAAATAATCCTTTACTGCTGGACAATTTCGCCGTAATTCTGTGCTCTTGTATTCCCAAGAAAGTCTTTGACAATATTTTTGAATGCCAACCAAGTATTCTTCCATTCTGTCATTGTTCCAATGAAATGTTAATTTTTTAGGAGCTGCCAAATCTGTAGACCATGAAACACACATACTTTTATCATTTTTTAAATGACATTAAATGGCAGGCTAAGAAATTCTAAAATGAGGTACTTGAAACAATCTCCTTCAACTGGCAGAGCTTTAACAAATATCTTCATGAGATCCGGTTTTTTTAATATGCGGAGGTAGAAATATAATGTTCCTGTTGACAAGTGGCTAATGTAGAATGTTTTGATTACCAAGTTTCAAGTCAGATCTTGTTGGTCAATTTGACTGCACTCATTGCTTGTCATGAGCTCTTGCTGTTTCATATACACAGTACAGAGGTCATCCAAGAGGGTGCCGACCCCATGGAAAACCTTAGGCAACAGCCAAAAGTATTGAATCACAAATCAGTGGCAAACAGGCCCCAACCGGTCACCCACAATGAAAATGAAGTACAGGACAAAAACTGTCTCCCAGTGTTGACCAACAGGAGCTAAACCCTGAGGACAACTTTTCAATATCTAACTTTGTAGCATCCCCACAAGCAAGGGGCAGACAAGACAATACCAGTACAGGTCCTGCTGAACCTGAATCTACCACTGAAGAATCGATGGTTCTAGTCATTGTGAAGACTGATTATGTACACCAGAAGCCAAGTCTTAAGTACAACAGGTCCTGGGGTTGCCCCCCTGTCGACACCGAGGGGGATGCCCCAATTACACAAAAAACAAGCATTCTTGTTATATCCATATTGCTGGCCAAGGAAGAAGCAGACCATTTTAATCTCAGTGCATATGATCATTGGTACATGTGATATTGCAACAAATCAATGCCTCTCTCTATATCTTCATATAAACATATCCAGTGGGACTGCACTGATAATAAATTTCCATTATGGAGGAGGACAGACTTCAAGCTCCGCTGTGAACTGTCAATGAATAATCACTATTGAGTTGGGTTACAGAATGATGCTAACAGTTCTGAAGCTTTTCTGGATAAACCCAAATCTGGTGTTAAATCATTCCAACTCATACTGGTCAAATCCTTTATGAACAGAATAATCATCAGTTTTAAAATCTTCATCATTGGAATCAATTTGATATTCGGGCCCACCAGCGGCCGAGCGGTAAAGTTGCTGAACACTGGTAGTTCGATCCGAGGTTTGAATCCCACGAACGGGCTGACTGCATGGGCGTTTTCGTGGTTTTCCCCATGTGTAACATGTATACAAACCAATTTTTCTTGAAAAGTCCTCCATGAAGGCATCCTTTCCCTTAGGCAGGTAACCCTAGTGTGCTTTGCCATAATTAAATAAACCAAACCAAACCAAACCAAACCAATCAATTTGATATTCACCAGAATTATATTGCTGTTATTTCCAAAGAGGGTAATTCTCTGAAAACTGGCACTGGAGCTCAACTGAGTGAGGCATTGGATATATAGCTGATGGTAAAATAGAATAGAAAGCTCTATTTTACATTTGTTTTTCTTGTTACATCCTGCATTTTCACTGTACCAAAGTAACAACTTCAGTGATTTTGACATGGTAGAAGAAAACTAACTGCAGTTTTGAAATCATTATGCCTTATTTAACTCTAAAACAGGACCTCAACAGAAACTGTGTTGCAGATTGTTTCCCAGTGTTATTGGTTGAAGATAGAGTATATATGTGTTAATTTTTGATGATATCATTATACATTTTGTAGAACAGTTTGTATCATGTAAAGAAATAAAAGTTAATTTTTAATTACAAGATAAGTAAGAAATTAAAAAAAAATTAATAATCATGTAGCACCCCTTTTAGTTATTTTTCAGATAATAGCACTAAAGTTAGTTATTATTTTAACATTTTGCTGGCAGTTTATTGCATTTTCAAATTAGGGTGCCATATAAAAAATAAATAACTAAAAGTGGTAGATGACATACTATATGATTAATGAAATTTTAATGACAACATTTTGCTTCTTTCAAGAGAATTTTGCTGGAAAGTAAAATAAAATAAAATAAAAAAAAAAAAAAAAAAAAAAAAAAAAAAAAAAAAAAAAGCTTTTCCCATTTTAAACAGGTCAGCAAGAATAGATCAAAATTTCATAATTAACTTCGTTGGTTATTAGTCATATTTGTTTTATTATTGACTAAATTTAACATTAAAAATACATTTTAATTTTGTCGCCTTTTTTAAAAATTTTATTTTATTTATTTATTTTTTGTTATTTTGGATAATTAAAGTCTTCTAGCTATGCTTTATGAAATGTTTCTATTTATAAAAGTGATAAACATGATTTTCTGTCTTTGTCTTCTTATTCATAATAGCAATAAATCAGTGGATATTTTATATTATTGTAAAAACAATCTGCTGCTAACAGGTTGAAAAGTTTTTATTTCTTATAAAACTTAATTAAAGACTTATTTATTGAAATTTGTATTCTGTCTACTATTTCAGTTAGTATGAAATTATTATTTAAGGAAAAAAAAATTAAACTGGCGTATAAGTGAGAAAGAAATTAATCTTGCTCCCTTTTATTTTTATGCATTTGTCCTGGTATTATATCTTCTAAAAATTCTTTGCTATTTGTATATTTATGGTAATAAATGTAATTATTTATATATGAGAATCAAATACATGAGGATGAATTGAATAAAAACAATAGATAGGCAAACATAAGCATGCATTCAATAATGTATTTAAATAACATATATATGTATTATAACAGAAGTACTAATTTGAACTCCTTCCTTGGCAGTTTCAGTATTCTCAGTAGTCTTTTAAGTAACAATATTATCATTTTTGAAACCTCATTGTTGATATGAATATCAGTACCTAATTTTGCAATGTAATATTATTTTTTCCAAATTAAAGTATTCTTAAGAATTCATGAAAAATTTCAGGCTATGACTGAATCAAGAAATTTGATCGTTAAGCAGACTTTTACGTTAGAAGAGATATCTGTCAAAAAACGCCCCAATACTGTAAGTTTTTCCCCCATATTTTAAAATATGCTTGTTAAGTTAATTAAGTTGATGAAGATTTTTAAGAATTTTTATCAAAAAGCAATTCTTTCATGAGTGATTATATTTTACAACATTTAGGCTGCTACACAGTTTAAAATAAGTTTATCATTGTTGATGAACATTTTGATGTCGAAGGAGCCTTGGTATATTCGATGCATTAAGCCAAATGATAATAAACGTGCAAGTAAGGAATTTTATATTGCATAATTTTTTGTTTGTCTTTATTATAATGATGGAAAGTCAATATTCCTTTTTTGATTTTCTAAAACAGTTGCTTGATGAATTGTTCTTTAGGTATTGAAATGAGCAACATATATATATATATATATATATATATATATATATATACACACACAGTCCAGTCATATTAATGTGACCATCACTTACTTTTGACATCAGCGTGAAGTGGCAGCACATTGCAGTGGAGCCTGTGTAAAGGAGGTCCAAGAGAATCAGAAAACTTTGGAATCGTTAGCAGAAATGAAGCAATTTGTCTGACATCCGTAAAAGCATGATCATTGGCTTTTGGGCCAAGGGTGAAAGAATTTCCAATACTGTTGATTTTGTAAACTGTTTGCATGCCACCATGGTAAAAGTATACTGTGCATGGCAAAATGGCACTTTCCAAAATCAGAGACTTGGAAAATGTGGTGCACTATGAGCCATAGATGACAGAGGTGAACGATGGCTGCAGAGATGTGTTTGGGCGAATAGATGTGCTGCCTAGATAAACCAAGTAACTGACTGCCTAGATGAACCAAGGGGCTACCAACAGAGCCTTCTCAATGATAGTTCTGCGAACTTTGCTGCATATGGGCCTCTGCAGCAGATGCTTCGTTAAAATACCTAGGCTAACTGCAGTTCATTGGCAATGAATTCTGAAATTTGCTCGACAAAACCACAACTGGACATCTACTGTCTGGCGACAGGTAGCCTTTTCTGATGAGTCATGTTTTATGTTCCATTGGACAGATGGACGTTGGCATAAACGTCTTCAAATGTCATAAAACAAACACCCTGCAACAATAGTCGAAAGGGTCCAAGTTGGAGGAGGGAGCATTATGGTCTGGGGAATGTTTTCGTGGCATTCTCAGGACATACTTATCATTGTGGAAGGCATGATGGATCAACAGATGATGGATGCATTTGTCCTAGCAGACTATGTTCAGCCCTACACTGTATATGCAAATTGTTTTTCCTCAGAATGGTGGAATCTACCAGCAGGACGATGTGAAGTGTTATACAGCTCATAGTGTACATGTGTGTTCGAAGAGCACCAGGATGAGTTTACCGTATCTTGGCCAGCATACTCCCCAGTCGAGAATCTGTGAAACCACCTCATTTTTGCCGTTTATGCCATGGATCCTCAACCACATAACCTAGCACAACTAGTCACTACACTGGAGTCGGCAGGGCTCAACAACCCATTAAACACCTTCAAGAACTAAATTCACTCTCTTTCTGCATGTCTCGCAGCAGTCTACTTAGCGAAAGGTGGTTATTCTGGCTTTTGACAGGTGCTCACATTAATGTGACTGGACTGTGTCTGTATAATGAATACAAAAATAGATAAATAAATATCCAATTAAAGAAAAAGAAATTTTTGTGTTTTGAATATAATTTATGTAAAAAAGCACTTCTGTACTTTTTTTAAATGAGATTATTTGCAATTTCTTAGTGGCTAGACAGTTACAGTGATAATGGTGATTTTTAGCATTCAACAGTAATGTACAAAGTTTTTCTTTTCAGATCTTTTTGATAAGACTATTGTTGCACACCAGGTAAAATATTTAGGTTTGATGGAAAATCTGAGAGTGCGTAGAGCAGGTTTTGCATATCGTAAAAAATATGAAGATTTTCTGCAGAGGTACAAGTGTTTGTGTCCTGAAACATGGCCTGTCTATAAAGGGCAGCCTAAAGATGGTGTAAAGCTGCTTGTTCAGCATCTTAACTACAAACCTGAAGAATATGCCATGGGCAAGTGAGTTTATTTTGGAAAATCTGGTATTATATGATGCACATTGATGAAATAATTCAAAATTTGTATTCTTTTAGTGTATGACTACTTACTGTCAGAATATTTTCTTACTTTTTGAAAGAATTTTGTAACTGTATTTTTATTTTTATATGTGAAATGTTTCTTTCAGAACAAAGATTTTTATTAGATTTCCTAAAACATTATTTCACACTGAAGATGAATTTCAGCACTATAAACATAAACTAGGTAAATTATAAAATTTCATTATTGGTTTATTACCAGCATATTTTAAAGAAGCAACCAGATTAAAAATTCTAAAAAATTTTCAGCTACTATAATACAAGCCAAAGTTCGTTGCTACCTTCAGCGAAAGAAGTATCTGAGCATGCAGAAATCTGGTGAATATTTTGCATTATTATATGTCTTAAAATGTTTTAACAGAAGATCTTTTTGTAAAAAATAATTATTTTAATACAAAAGTGATTATTAGTGACCGTTTTTTTGTTTCATTTTTATAAATAGGATTGTTGTGTTTTTAGATTAGCAGTCGTAAAAAGAGATGAGATATTTTATTATTGGCAAAATCTAGACTTTGGTGTTGAATGAAAAGGGTTTTGAGGGATACTTGTAAAATATTTGGTTCCCTCCCTTCTCCAAGAACAAGTTATTCTACAAATATGTGTTTCAAAGCACCCTTCATATATGATATCATGCACATTTATTGTCATCTCTTTTTAAGTATGCATTATATATAGAACATTTCTTAGATGGTTTTAAGGCAACAATCAGTTTATGTTAAAAATTTTTAGCCTTTAAATTATACATGTTTTTATTGTTAATTGCTGCCTACATAAACTATCAAAACCAATCAACAAATATCTGAAGACTTTAAAACTACTTTTTCAAAACTTATAAATATTCAAGAATATATTAATAAAATAAAATAAAAATATTACCAAACTGCAAATTAATTGAGCTGATAGTAATTAATTTAATGTATATATATATTTTTAACAAGCATTTCCATTTTGTTGTTCAATTTCCTAGATATTTGTTTGAAATTAGGTATATTAATAATACCTGATATGATTCTAGTCATAATAGTACCTGATATGATTCTAGTCATCTACCCAATTCTAATCATTTCATATATTTCCATATTTGTTTAACCCCTTAACTGCCTTGCGCAGCCAATGCGTAAAATTCTTTGGAATACAACACCGTAATGACCTTGACAGAGGAAAGTAATGACTGCACGGTATTTGCTGGTTTCTGTTCGAGTAAAACATATTTTTTTAATTCTGTGTCTTCTGTTTTCGTTTACTGTTTGTAGTAGGTGCCAGGAATAAAGAAAGATATAACGAATGTTTCAAACCCATTTATCTTTTTGAATTTTTTTTTTGATGAACTGCTCGTGCTTCATATTGTTACCGAAACTAACTGTTTTGCAGATGAGTATACGAACCAACACCCTGCGAAAGAAAAATCAAGAACAAAATCGTGGCATTCAACCAGTTCAGAAGAAATATATGTTTTTTTAGGTACACTGATTTCACAAAGTATAATAGTGAAACCTGATATTACACTTTACTAGTCTAAAAATAAATTGATCGAAACTCCATTTTGGTTTTTTTTATTTTTTATTATACAAACATCATTTTTATTATACTTACATCTTTTTATTATACTTTTACTCTAAACATTAAATTTTTTGCTTTCATTTTTTTTATTCGTTATTTTGTGAAAGTAAACAGTTTTTAGGAAATAAGACTTGCACTTATTTTCCCCCTAATACATCACATAACTACGTGCACCTGTGTGAAAAACAGTGGCAGTGGGAAGTGAATCTTGTGCATTTTCCACGGCAGTAAAAGGGATTAATCCTTATATTTAAAATTTATTTTGCTTAAATCCTGTGCAAAGAACTTTAAAATCTTTCTTTAAGCTTAAACTTTGGGTATTACAGCTTTATAATTTTTCCTAGCAAGAAATGAAAAATTTATCTCTTAAAAACATTAAATTGAACAAAGTAGAAAATTAATTGAACTTAAGAAATATAAGACCTAACATTATATCTTCTAAAATCGCCTATACAGTTCAAACAGTATACACACTTTTCAATTACTGTATTATTGCAATTACAGTACATATTTATGCATATGAATAGCTATATGTTCTCTTTTCTATCTAAATATTTGTTATGGTATTTTAATTTTGCAGTTTTTCTCTCTCTTTAGTGACATTATTTCTTATATATTTCTTGTAACCTATGTAATGAATTTGGTGACTGAATCAGTTTTTGTTTTTTTCTGTGGAAATTCCAATGTATCCCATTCCTGCTCTGAGTGACAATGTGATTGAAGAAAGTTAAGTAGGCTGCTGTTGATTACCACTCACATTCTTTTTACTTTCTAGCTGTTGGCAGGAATTCGTGAAGGTTTATGACTTTATTCTGTTGAAAACTAAACTTTTAATTCATTCTGAGTAGAATTTCTCTAATTATATCTAGGCTTACAAGTGTTGCATTGTCTGTGCAAGTATAAATGAAAAATAAGAAGGAAACAAAATAAATTAACATAATAATGAAATTGGAACTGGATGCCATAATAGACTGATGAAAAGAAAATATTAATGAAATTGCTATTGAATTAAATGTTGAATGAGTTGTGAAAAACTCATCCCTTCTTCTGTAAAACTTAGCATTTTTGGTAACTCTTCAACCCCTCTATCCACAGAAGGTCAAGTTTGCAGGACTGTACATAATATATCTAGCAATTTTCATAATTTGCATAGTTTCTTAATCATGTCTAAATTATTTAAGTTAAAACAGTGCCTTTCTGGTGCTTATTGGCTCTAAAATAATCATTTAATTGGTCTTTTTCTCTAGATGAACGTTTTTTCAAGCACTCGCAGCATGTCAGTGACAGATATATTATTCAAAAATAGTGTTATTTTTAACTTATGTCTTGAATAAAGCAATAAAACAACTAATTTGAAAAATAGTACCATTAATGGAGAGCATATGTGACAGAGTAGCATTCACTGTATATTTCTTTCAGATGCAATGAAGGCATTCAAATGGAACATATTACTTTGTTGTTGTATATGGCAAATGTCTATCATAATTATTTCATTTATTATTCTATAAGAGAAAAATATAATTTGTAATTTTTCTGTTATCGTAGGTAAAAAGTAAAACGAGTCCCTAAAAATTTCTTCTTTAAAATTGCAAAGTTTTAATTAATAATCGCATAGTTTCTTAATCATGCCTAAATTATTTTATTGCCACTTTATTCACAATGGCAAATTTTTGGGAAAACTAAAATTTTACTTTGGGATTATATAAAGGACATGCGATCAAACCAAAATTTTTGTCATATATTTACGCAGTTTTATAGTAAATATGTTCCATTCTGATGTTGAGTATGTTTTAATGACTATAAAATGCTTAAATGTGGACTTATTAAAATATGTATATAGTAAGAGTAATGATTTGATATGAATTTCATGAGCATGTGCTTTGAATAACTGTTAAAAGATTTGATTACTACTTGCTATTTTAAGCCAACATTAAAAACATGTTTTTTCATTAAACAGGCTGTTTGCGTTGCCAGAATAACCTAATTATAATAAAGTAGTTTCTGAAAATTTTTTCTGAGTTGTATAATAAATAAAAAGGAAAAAACTTAATGGTATTAAAATTAATTATTATAATTTCTTCATTTCCTTTCAGTAAATCTTATTTCGCGATACTGGAGAGGACATTTAGCTCGAGAATTGTTGGCAAGAAGAAGATGGGCAACTGTAGTGATCAGAAAGTAAGTAATTGTTTAAGACAAAAATGAATTAAAAAATAAATGGTACTTTTCCGTTTCGCCGGCGCAAATCTCGCCAAGCAGACTTGGCGACAACATACAGTATACACATAAAAAATATTAAAAAAATTTTAGTTCTAAGAATTCTTTTTTTGAAGGTATAAACATTTTAATATCGCTTAAAACTTTAAAAAAAGCCAATAAATAAAGACAATAAATGTGTAAAAAGATATTAATTTAAGAATTTACTATGCTTTCATGGTTCAACATCCTGATTCGCCGGTTCATATCACGTGACCCCAAGCGATCTCATCTCACGTAAACTACTCTACAAAAATCTAATGCTCTCAGTAATTATTTACATTAATTTCAAGTTAAATCTTAATTTGGAACACAAGTTTAAATGCAAGAATATTTTCAATGCGTACGAATAGCTTACTCAGAAATTATGTAAAACTGCAGTGCTTTACTTCACTAATGCATTCTCATTAGAATTGATGAATTTAATTTGATTTAACTTGAATTTTGCCTTTTCTATATTTTCGGCTTCGGGTAAGAGCTGTGATTGCATCCTAATTGACTTAATAACCGAAAATGGCCTTAGACATAAAACTGAACTATCTGATAAAAATTCTATGTAATTATATGCCAGTATTGAAAGAAACAATCAATCTGGTAAGAAATGGTTGCGACTTGTTTTGAAAATGAGGCGTAAAAGGTTACCAGCGAGAATATTCCGTTTGGCATCGGTTGTACCATTATTGGCGACTTTATCGCTTGCGCCGGCAAAACGGAAAAGTACCAAATAAATCTATAGATACAAATTATTTAGATATCTTATACAGTAAATAAAAAAAAAATAATAAAAAGGTTATATTGGGGGTATGAGGAAATTGTTTTAAAATGAAAGCTTCATTTGAGTATACAATGAAAACATTTTATGTCTTTCAAATTATTTTATTGATTTTTTAATATTAATTAAAAAAATTTGAAATATTTTAAGAATACAATTACATAAAATTAAAACGAAGCATCTAAAAATCTTAAATAATTAACAAATGACTGTTTTTTTAATAGATTTATTAATGGATTCATCCATAGGAATGAACATGAAAACAAGCATAATAAATTTGTAAGTATAAATTTTATTTTGATGTGATGTATTGGATTTTTAAAATCCTCAATTTTCCAGTTTCCTTATGCTCCTAATTAAATCAAATTCTGTTTTATAAATGTTGAATGATTTATAATTTCATCACAGAAGTTTTTAATCTATCCAAAATGGCAAATATGTCAGCTATTCATCAAAGGTTGAAAGATGAAATTCAACAGCTGAAGCGACTTTTTTTTTTTTTTTTTTTTTTTTTTTTTTTTTTAAAGAGAGAAATATATTTATCGTTTATAAAGTATAAAAAAAAGTACTTAAAAACCCTTGCAAAAATAAAATTCTGAAATTTAAATGCATGAATATCTTAACTTATTATATGGTATTGTAATAGCATGATGGCATTGAAAGCTATTTTAGTTATAACACTTTTTGCTTTTACATGACCATAAAATAAAATGTACTAAATTGATATAAAAATGAAAGAAAATATGTATTTGTGGAAATGAGAATTTTATTTTGGAGTAAAATTGAAGGAAACTCAAAGCAGGTACAAATATAGGTTGCAGTAGAAGAACTTCCTGATTTCGGAAGCGAATAAAATCCAAAACAAATAAGGTATGAAAATTTTCTTTTTATCTTGAAAGTACACATAATGCCATTTTATATCGATGTGTTTTTTCAATGTAAATAAAAGATCACTCATGCGGTGGTCTCTATTACTTATACATTAACATAGGCTTTCTCGATTGTTGTTTTTAGTTCTAGACTTTGAGAGTTATTTTAGGCATAATTGTAGCAACTTCTAACCTTTTTCAGGACTTTTAAAATTGGATACCCAATGGCAATTTTGTTTGTTGGGAATAGGATTTTGTTGGCCGAGTGGGAAGTAGATGCAGAAAGCAAGTTGTATTGCTTTTGCATCTTTTTGATAACCTCCTATGTGAATAAAGTGCTCTACAATGAAAGCAGGGGTGTTCTCCTGACCAAGTTGTGGTCTATTCTAAAATGGTATGCAAATTGCTATTCAGTGGTATGCTGTCCATAACTGTATTCCATTTTCCTGTTTTCAACCATAGCTATGTTACTTCCAAAATGGAAAGGTCTTTCTGCCACACCCTGTGATTTGCAATTTTACCTATTTTGAAAATAGCTTCATACGATTCACATAGTAATGGAAGTAAAATAGGTGTTGAAAAGTTATCAGATTACTCTTGTGATTGTGAATTTTCTGATTGTGATAGTAATTATTTGGAAGAAAGTGATATTTTTCAAATTTGGGGAAAAAAGGGGCTCTATTGTGCATGTTGTTTTGCATATTGTTTTACGTCAGAAGCAGGGAAAAGGATTCAGACATTGAAGAGAAATTGGAATAGACTAAAATTGACAAATCCAAATTAGGAAATATATTTAGATGAAACAAATGTAAAAGTGTCATCCTCAGAGCCTACAAATATTCTTAATGTAGATAAACTTTTTATAGATGATGATTCATATTTTTTTTAATGGAAAAGTCAAATAAGTAACTGTAATTAGAATGCTGATGAATTTCAAGATATAAAAAATTTATAAAAATTGAAAGATAGTTCTGTTTTGGAAATGAAATCTGTTGGTTTATCCTTGGTGATGAGAATCGTATCCTGAGACATGAGAAAAGATACCAGAAATGAGTCTTAGACTGTAGATTCAAGTTACGTTGTACCTTTTTTTCCCCTCTAAATTACAAATGGAGACAAATTTTGTCAAGTATGGAGATGTTAGTTTTTTTTTTTTGTTTTTTTTTTTTTTTTTTGCAATCTAATTAATGCAGGTAAAGGGAAGAGATAGCCAAAATTAATCAGTATTAGATTATTTCTTCCCAGAATTTTTAAACATTTACAAACTGTAGCAAGAATTTTCTTGTTGAAGCCACTATTCTATGAAGAGTCGGGTTATGCTTTCATATATGTAACTCAGGTAAAATTATAAAGTGTGGCATACTAGTTTGAATGGTTTGTGAAAGCATGTCTGATTATATCTGCACTTTATGCTAAAGAAAATAACACATTACCAGACAGAATATAATCAGTTTTGGAGCTATTTTACAGTTGTTTGTAACATGTCTTTATGGGCAATTTTTATAATTGTGTGCCAAATTCTGGTATTTTATTGCAGCATGGAATAAGAATAAAAGTTGCTATCTGAATGATAGACCCATCTGCCAATTTGAAAACCAGTTAACAACACAGTGCTATCTGCCAATTTGAAAACCTCAGTTAACAAAAAGGGCAATCAATATATCACTGAAGCAAATAAACTTTACTGCAGCATCTGGAAATGAAAAAATAAGTTAGAGTGCTTATAAATATTCACAGAGTTGCATTTTATGAAACTAACAAAAAATGATTCAAAAATCGGGGAAAACTGTAAAAAAAAAATCCTTTTTTTATTCCTTTTACAATCAAATCATTTTCAACAAAACAGTAAAGAAAAAGTGCCCATTTTTTCTTATGAAAATTTTTTTAAAATAAGTATATGAGCAATATGTGTACTTATTTTTTATTTTTGGAATTTTAAGCTTGAGTTCAAGGGTGAAACATGAATAAGTTAATTGTGTAGATAGGTTAATGATCTTTTTTCTTAAAATTTTAGAAAAAATTGTGAAATAGTCAAAGTGAGTTGTAATGTTCTTGATAAACTCTGCCCTGTTTAACCCTTAATGGGTTTATAAATATCAAAACAATAATGTAAAAAGAACATATTTATATATTTGGATACAAAGTGGGATTTGAGTCTATGTGACAGTATCAAGAAACAAGGCCTTCAGTATCTAGGTTCACTTCAAGATAAGATAATAATCTAAAATTATTAGCAGATGTTTGCAAATATAAATTATAAAAAAATAATTACTACTGCTAAAATAACATATCCCACTAGAAAGTGATGTGTATGTACAGCTTGTAAAAGATGTGTAAAACCTGAGAATACTAATTATTATTCTGTAAAGATTTTAAATTAGTATGTATAGACAATCTTTCTCTAAGCTTCTTCAAATTGGTAACATTTCTAAATTATGTTGATTAACATGGTCAGAAAATGGGTTTGTTCCCTCACTTCATCTTCAGAGGTGTAAAAAATCGTGCCTGTTTACAAATTGTTAAATGCAAAAATGCTGAAATATGTTCAGAATACTTAATTTGTAGCTAACTACTTAATTAATGCTTTTAAAAATGCTATTTAATTTTTGTTCTTTAAGTACTGCATAGTTTGGTAACAAAATACAGTACAGTACAAAGTCAAAATCTGGATGTCTGATATTCGGATCACCAGCACTTTTTTTTTATGAAATTTAGAATTGAGAATATAATGCTCAAGAAAGAGGTAGATGTTTCATAAATGTGATTTTCCTCCTGATTGACTGAAATTCTTGTATGTCAGTTCTGACTAAATTACCATAGCCAGTGATTGGCGTGTAGCTATAACCACACTTGTAGACCTTAAGTGGTTGTGGATGGGGGTTACTATTTTCCTATCTGACTTACTTAGTAAGTGAAATAGCAAGTTATGTTTTTTTGCTGCTGATACTGATTTTCTTTCTTTAGCATAATAGCAGAAGTGAGAAAGAATTAGATTTGGAAGAAATTAAGCTCAGTTAACATAGCAAATTATTCTTTTCCTAGACTGATTTGATCCAGCTTATTATTTCTTGCAAGCTATTATAACAGCTGTCATAACAAAATTAAAGATTGAATTTTTGATTATGTCCAAAAGATTTTGTAATTCTGGATCTCTAGCAAGATCTGCAAAGTGAAAGCATATTTGGTACTTGCCTTTTGTAGTGGCCTTGGTGTGAGGAAACAGTATTGGTGCAATTCCAGGCTTAAGAAAGTGCGATTTCAAAACTGGTAACATAGAAGCCTTATTTTGGCATAGATTTAGAATATTATAGATGGTGAAATTATAAATATAATGGAATTCGATAAGAAGTGTGGAGAAGTGGTAATAATTGAAGAAGTAATAAATTTTTCTATTGCAATGACAGAGCTCCAACCATTGATCAACTAGTGTGTGGTGACATATGCAGAATGGTTTTAAATTCAGAAAATATCGTTACTGATAGTGACAAAAGTGACAAAGATTTTCTAGAGTGAAAAGATTTCAGTTTACAATTTAGTGGGAATTTTCAACTTGGCAGTTAACAGAACTTGAATAATGGAACTTTCCAACTGAACAAGAAATTATATTTTTGTATAAAACTGAAGAGAAAGTAGCACAGAAAAGCGACACCTTAAAAAATGCATTAAAAGAAATGTTTAATAAAACAAACATATAAATATTTAATAACCTTTTTTTGTAAATTTTTATTCCCTTAGTCTTAAATGCATCATTATTTCATAAACAGCTATTTCTTCACATCATCTTATTAAATGCTGTCATTTTTCTACATGTCGTTTAAGATTTAAACTGATGATCTAAAAACCGGGGATTTCCGAAATACTCGGGAGTCTTGACAATTCCAGGTCTAGAATTTTGTACCGTATTGGTATTTACACTATTAATGTATACAGCTGTTTTGAAACCATATATTGTAGCAATTTTTATGCATTTTAAATATCAAGTGAATTAGAAGCAGGTGTACTGTATCTTTGAAAGTTTTTTGAATCAATAGTAAAATGATTCTAAAAATCATGATTTTCTTCAGTATCAACAAAAATCAGTTTGAAAAATCTTAGTTTAAAAATTTGTAATAGTTTCTGCATATTTTTACTTTTTTATATGAAATAAAGGAAGTGTTGTAATTGCGAAAAATTTCAAATATTCATTTTGATCATTCCCGAATCCATTTTGGATAATTTTTTTTATGACATCTGAAATGTACGGACAGAATAAAGGATAATTTTTTCCAAAATGGATTGTAAAATGGATTCAAAAGGGATTTGTTCATGACGTACATATGTATGTATCTCACATAACTAAAAAATGATTAGCCATAGAGTTTCGAAATTTTGTATTTGAGACTGCTATAATATCTAGTTGTGCACCTTCCTTTGTAATTGCAATTGTCAGTATTAAACATATTTATCTATCAGCCCACCAGAAAGCGAGTGGTAAAGACTCTAAACACTGGTAGTTCGGTCTGAGGTTCGAATCCTGCGAACAGTTGGCTGCATGGGCATTTTCATGGTTTTCCCTATGTGTAACATGTATACGAGCCAATTTCTTTCGGAAAGCCCTTCATGGAGGCATCCCTTCCCTTAGACAGATAGCCCTCGAGGCTTTGCCTTAACCACATTAACCAAACCTATATATATACACCCACCCTCTTACCTTGTTTTTATTTTCATAATTGTTGGTCGTAGTCATATGCTTCTTATTACAGAAGTGTTTTAAATGATGAAAATATTCATGCTTTGGTAATGTCATATTTAAAATAATTTTCAACAACTAGCAAAACCTAACTTTTAATGCAGTCTCCTGTTTTCTATGCTTATATTTAGAAAAAATTTATAAACCTCTGGTATAATGCAAATTGACTGGGATATTTAATTTTCAAAATTTGCAATTTACCTTCAGGGATCTGTTAATTAAATTAGAATAATTCCAGGAAATTAGTTCAGAAGTGCAAAAAGTATGTATAATTTAATAGGCTATACAAGGAAATCATGTGGTGTTCACATCAGTTTTTTTTAATTTATTGTTTATAAAAAAAAATCAGCTGCAAAAATTTCCTGTATAATTTTAAATGTTCTTCTATCTGCAAATTCATAAAATTTTATGAGCTTAATTGAAAATTATAAAACATGCATGAATGTAGACAGAATAAACAGAAACATTTTCGAATAATTGGTTTGTATTTAAACAGTAAACATATTTTGACAAATCTAAATTTGTGTAAGTACTACCTCAAGTGCATTTAAAAAAATTTCGTCTTCAGCTGATTCATTGTTTAGCTATTTGAATAGCTTAACTTAAATCTTATTATATAAATTAATTTTAAAAAGTAAATCTTAAATCTTTAGAAGTTTAATTTTCTTGAATGTGCTTAAGCATACTGTATTTGCAGTTTTAATATACAGGGTTATCCAAATTAAACTTCCCCAACTCAGAGGCCTGTGCAGAGTGTGTATGGGTCATAATGTGATGAAATTTTAAAAACAGACACTTCAGATCATGCGCTCGAGATTTATTGCACAAAAAAAATTAGTACAAGAAGTTGTCGATAGGTGGCGCTGTAACACTAGTAATGTGCATATTGCAGCAACGTGATTTGCAGAAATAAAGCTTCTGCGCAACGTATCCAAAAGACGAGTCCTACAAGAGTGGAAGACAGGCCTTGCACAGGCTCGTCTTCCACTTTTGTAGCTCCTGATACACAATGGTTCCTGATACACAATTTTCCAGCTCGCTGATGCACAATGGCGACTTTGAAAGACAAAGCTCTGTTAGTGAAACTTTTTCTACCAGAATGACAAGAACTCCTATGCTGCGATAAGAGCATTCCGTCCGCTAAAGATCTTACACCGAGGACCAATGACACCATGCGCTCTACGAGACATGATTAAGAAGTTCGAAAGAACGGGACAGCTGGGAATTTTACCAGGTAGAGGATGACAGGTTGTGGAATCTGTACGTGTAGAGGACGTTGCTTTGGCGGTTAAGGACCCCACTAGCCAATCGCCACATGGTGTTGTCAGTGTGCCAACTGTTTCTTGTGCTGTTGATATGCCCTAAACGACCGTCTGGCGTGTGATGCGTCGAATCCTTGGTTATTTTCCCTACAAAATCCATAGTCGTCATCAGCTGTCCGACGGGGATCCTATAGTTCGGGAAACATTTGCGTTGCAGTTTCTTGCCAGAATGGAATTCGATGCTGCTTGGCCGTGGAACATCTTTTGGACGGATGAGGCCCATTTTCACCTGAATGGTCAAGTGAATACGCACAACTTCCGCATTTGGGCAAGTGAAAACCCGCGCGCAATCCATCAAGTGCCCTTGAACCCTCCAAAGGTTACTGTATGGTGCGGTTTCACTGCAACATTCGTCATTGGGCCTTATTTTTTTTTGAAGAGGTGACTCCAATAGGGTTCAAAACCTGCTCTGTCACAGGAAAACAGTATCAGGGCATGTTGACGACGTTTGTGATCCCTGAACTGCAACAACGTGGCCGCCTCCAGGACACGATATTTATGCAGGATGGTGCACCTCCCCATATCCTTCGTGGCATTCAACAGGTGCACGTGCAACTTTTACCGATGCACGTGTGATAAGCTGATGTTTCCCTACAGCTTGGCCTCCCCACTTGCCTGATCTCACACCATGCGACTTTTGGTTATGGGGATTTTTAAAGGATCGGATCTACCGAGAACACCCAGCAGCCTTGGCACAGCTGAAAGACGCAATTATTCGACATGTTCGTGGAATTAATGTGGACTTACTGCATTCCGCTGTGGAACACACTGCTTTGCGAATGGAAAGAATTGTAGAGAACCACGGCACGCATATAGAACATGTGTAGAATGTCTTGTTGATCTGCAGCGCCACCTATCGCCAACTTCTTGTACTTTCTTTTTTTTTTTGTTTGTTTAATAAATCTCAAGCGCATGATCTGAAGTGTCTGTTTCTAAAATTTCATCACATTATGACCCATACAACACTCTGCACAGGCCTCTGAGTTGGGGAAGTTTAATTTGGATAACCCTGTATTTTATCACTGCACATGAGTTCATTTTCATTTATATATAGCTAAAAGTTTTTTGCTTCTTAAGAAGAGGGTTCCATGTCTGTCTACATTCGAAATATATACTTTATTAAAAGTCGGTGCTTAACTGTTTTTTTTTTTTTTTTGCTTACATCTAAACAAACTGTTTGTAAAATATTGCCATGGTCATTTTTCTGCCTGAAAGAATGGGAAATGTAAAAGTAATTTTAATCTTCAGATTTTAGAAATGTAATTTGATATTTGTAAAATACAGCTTATCATATATTTAGACAAATGGCTTACATGAATCTGTTGTATGAAAAGAGAAGATACAGTCGATTTCTTATTTCTGAATTTAAATTTTTATTAAAATAGCTGTAATCATTATGCTTTTGATCAGCGCATAATTAAGAATGTGTTAATTTAAAAAGTAGATTATTGCCATTAAAATAGATATTTCATTCCGTAGTTCCTTTGGAATGTCAAAGCTGAATATCTTAAACGTTTGTCTTGCAATTTGCCTACATCTCTTCTTGATACATCTTGGCCACCTGCTCCAGCATCTTGCAGAGAAGTATGTTTGATATTTATAGTTATGTTATATTTTATATCCTATGGCAAAAGTAACTAAAAGGTTTTTTCATTTTTCCAGAAATAATTTCTTGATTTCTGTTAACTGTAACTTAATATACTATCTATTGGTATGCCCATTATTTCTAAATCTCATTTTTTTGTTTGTTTGTTTTCAGGCAAACCCTGTAATATAATCATGGCATTTCAGGCAATGTTATATCAGGGAAATGTATGAAAAATAGCTAATTAAAAGAAATATAATTATAATGGAAAAAATGAAATTATAAATGATTGATTAGATTTTGATTTTATTATTTCAAACGTGATTATTTTCATTCACAAAATGCGTAAAAATTGAAGTAGTGCATATTAAATTTCTTTACTATTATTGGAGCAATGATAGTAATGAAATTTAACATGTTATTTTACAATTTTTTTTATTTAGAGGCAGGTGCAATAATGAAGTTTGCAACCAATGTGCAATATTGAAAAATAACATATAAAGTAATGAAAAATGCACTTTTTATTTATTTTTTATATGAATAAATGTGTTTAAATTGCAAAATTTTATTTATTTCAGTCATTCAGTGGTTAATCATGAATAATTTAATTTTCTGAACAGTTGTTTGCCTAAAATATTACATGAAAATTTTATTATAAAAATTATTTTTAGGCTTCTTCTTACTTAAAAAAATTGCATAAAACTTGGTTGATGCGAAAATATGTAAAGAGCCTAACTCCAGAAAGAAAATTCCAGGTATATTTATTTAAAATGTGTTAGTTTGCTTTTATGTTCATTAGCCTTTCAAAAAATTAATTTAAGACACATTTCTTATGTAGTTGGATCAGAAGATTGTAGCTGAAGAATTGTTCAAAGGCAAGAAAGATAATTACATTCAAAGTGTTCCCAAGCCTTTTGTCTGCAGTAGATTAGGTATTTTCCTTAATCCTTATTTTTTTAATTCATTCAGTAGAGATGTAATTTTACTGATATCAGTTTTACATAGATTGCTTTTGTATTCATTATGTGAAAAACAAACTATCTTTTTCTACTCAAATTAATTTAACTCCACTCCTTTGTATGGTAATTTGGATGCCTACAAATGTTAGTGATCACTTATACTTTTGGAAAGCCTTGGCCAAAACCTTTTAAGAGACATATATGGAGTAGATTTTAACTATAAATGCAGGATTGACACCAGAGCTAGTGGTTGCTGCACTAGTTGGCAGAATTTAGGGGTGGCAAATTTTGAGAGGCATTCCCTGTATAGATGGAAAGCTTATCTGGTGAAAATGTATAATTGATATTAATTGGAATAGCAAATTGAAAAGGCTTAAATGTTAGCTGTTTTACATTGCCTGCATAAATGTAAATTAAGTATAAGATCTACTGAAAATTCTGTCTATTTAGGATGTGAAAGAAAATAATACAGTTTTCATTCTTTTAATAATATTTACAATACAATATAATTTTGATCATTCATTTGCCAGCATGATGGCAATTTGTAGGTGTTATTTTTGAAAAATGTCTTGTCCTTACAGATGAAGAACGCGAGTATTGCTTCTGACATCTGCTTCAGTTTTAAATTTTTCCCCTTCAAAATAGTTTGCAAGGACAGAAACAAGCAATAATTGGAGGGTGTTGGGTGTGAGGAGTATGGTGGATGCAGGCCTAATTCTCTAGCCTAGCTCTGCGATTTTCTGACATGTCACCAAAACAGCATGTGATCTGATATTATCATGATGTAGTATGATGTTCCTCTTGAACATCGTTGGCATCTTTTTTTTTTTTTTTTTTTTGACTGATTTATCTAAATGTATTTGCTGGCAGTATCTCTCCAAATTGAGCTTTTCTATAGGTTTCAAAAGCTCATCATGTATTGACCCTTGGATATCTCACCATACACAGCTGTTGCATTGCTATTTTCCTCAAAGCTGGAAGCGTGCACTTATAGTGCCTTTCAAAAACCTGGCCTGTACCAATTAAATCCTCAAAATTACAGACTCATGAGCCTCCTGTCTTCGTTATCTAAGATATACGAATTTGTGCTACTTAAAGGCCTGAATGATTTTCTCCGGAGCCAAGAAGTCCTTATTGTTGAACAATTTGTTTTCCAAGCAAAACACTGCACTTCCGAGGACAGTGGAGTTATTCACGAAGGCATTTCGTAGCAAAATGCTTACCTACTCTGGCATCTTCACACTGAGAATGCTGTCAATAAAGTGAAGAGCTCCAGATCCCAACTTTACCCCCTATTAGCTCAAAAGAGCCATATGTCTATCAGAAACAAAGTTGTTCTCTATACTTCAATTATTCGACCAATTTTTATGTACGCATGTACCATTTGGGGTACTGTTGCAAAGACTCGCATAAAAAAGTTACAAGCCTTTCAAAGTAAAACCTTACGGTTAGTCCTTAGCCTGGTTCATCCGTACTGATGTGATTCACTCAGACCTTAACATTAAATCAGTTGATGTTGTTATTAAAAATTTGTTCCTCAAAATTGAACAGATTGATAACCGAGCACTTCAACAGCTTCCTGTCTATGATCCTGGTATTCCAAGTTCACAAAAAGAGCCATCATGGGCCAAGACTACAGCATATACCCTCCTGCTAAAAAGGTGTAGACAGTTCCAGCTCCCGCACCGGGAAGGCGGACGTCTCTATCTTCTAAAATTGCTATTCCTCACTGACCATGCCAAATTGCTATATTCTACTCAAACTGAACTGAAAAGTGGCCTTCTTTGCATTGTTATCAATCTGTTCCTTTAAAAATCACATCATGCCCGTAGAATTAATTTGTGCCTTAGACATTTCCTCGCGTTTTCACAAACTTTACTACTGATTTAGTACCATATGCCAATAAGTCTCTTAATTTCTAAAATCTTTCCTCTCTGCTTTTTGCTTTTGTATTTTATCTGTCATAAAAATATAAAATAATAAACAAAATTTTTAAAAAATCAAAATGTAATGATTTTTTTCTATGCCTAAACTCTTTCAAGCTAATGTCGCTCCCTCTAGCTTGCATCAAACTAACTATTTATGTAAGTTGCCTATTTCTGCTCATTACTTAGATATTTTTATGATGTGGAGGTACATGGTTAGAACCATAGGCACTCCGAAATGCTTAATCATTGGTGTTGTCATATACACAGCATTCTCTTATTCAGGCTAAAACTCAGTTTTAGATGTGGAGAGAACAGGTTTTTTTTGGCTTGCAGTATTCTCGTTTTGTAACGATGTTTTCATAGGTAATCCATTCTTCATATCCAGTTATCATTCAGTTCGAAAAAGGTCCATTTTTATTCTAAGCAGAGATGTACATGTGACGACTCGGATCATGCAAATTTTTCTCACCTCATGAGGCACCTGTCTGGAATATTTATAGACTGATCCTGGACCTACGTGGTCTGAAATGACTTGCTAAGCTAAAATAAGCTTTTCCACAATCTACAGCGTTGTCAAAAAAGGATTTGCTCATTCATAGTCTTGATAATATTATCATCGTTCAAAGATGGTTGCCCAGAGTGTGGCTTATCACTGAGGCCAAAATCACCTGCTTTAAAATTTTCAAATTATCTCCTTCACATTCCTCTCCAAAGAACGTCACCAAATTTTGGTATGCTTCTCAACAATTCCTTCCTTGTTTAAATTTGTAAAAGATACAGTGTCGTAAATGGAGTGTAGCCACGTTTAAATGATCGCATCTCACTTAATAATAACATGGGACATTTTTGTTTCACTTAGTTTAGAAGAGCAGATGCTTATGAATGCAGCAATAAAGAGAGACAGCCATTTGTATTTCAAATGAATCCCTGCATGGATTTGAAGCCCAACATTATTGAACAGATCTTTCTGGTAGAGCTTATATTTGCCATGTCAGATGAAGAAGAGGAAAAAATGATTTATGGACATACCATGTATTTTGGATTTTCCCTATCGATGAAATAATCCATTTTGAAATCATTGTTTTGTTTGTAAATGATGCATTGGTTTAATTAGAAAAGAAATATACCAATGTGGAATTTAAAAGTTAGACAAAAATGCTGCCTTCTTCTCCCTTTTTTCTCATCTTCGATTTCAAATAAAACTCTATCAGTTTTTAAAGCAGTTATGCATAAATTTCTGCTTTCTGGAGCAAAAAATGTTCATAAAAGTGAGAGGAGTAACAGTCATATTTATATCAAAAATGAATGGGCATAGTTAAAAGAAAATTAACATATTGCCATATTAAGATAAAATAACTTGCCGAACAAGTATTAATTTAGAAACAAAAAAAAAAAAAAAAAAAAAATCAGTGTTATATTTGCCAATTTTCACAGCACTAATTTTGATGGTTTTACCAAAGCATCATCCTCAGCTGCCAAAGCACAAATGAACGAGATAAGATATAGTGGTAAGATAAAAATGACGAGTTAAGCTACTGGGGCCATCTATTGATGAAACGAGAACTAAATTTTCTTAAAGGCTGAAGGCAAAGAGTTCTTATTTCTTTCTTTCAGCCTTTAAGAAATTTGTGCTTTGGCAGCTGAGCATGATGGTTTGGTAAAACCATTGAAACTAGTCCTGTCAAAATTGGCAAATATAATGCTGATTTTTGTTGTTTGGTTTCTAAATTAATATTGGCATATGTAAAAAAAAAAACGGTGTGAAACATGAAAAAAAACTAAGATTTAGAATTTCGTTCCAGTGTTCTCAAAATTCTAACATTTTAGCTTTTTCTCATTTTTTTACTGTTCTTCTGAATAGATGGTACATTTGTTTTCTCTTTACTCCATCCAATGATTCCCCCCCCCTCCCAGGGGTCCACGTAGAAACTCTGCAAAGCTGCTGGGCAGAATATGTTCCTAGGTAGTCTTGGCCATGGAGTATGTAAATTACAAACCTGGTTCTGGGGGTGACTGTTGGGTAGCAAATTGGTGATCAGTGACGCTGTGGGGGCTGTGTTACTCCAGGTGTGTTGGTGCCAATCTCTCCAAGAGAACCCTTAGTGTCATTAAGTTGACGAAAAGGGAATGCCCAAAGATTATATCCATTCAATTATTCCATTATTTTTTTTTTCTTACTTAATACATGCTCTGCTCTTAGGCACTACATGGAAAGGGAGGAGTGCCCATGTAAGTTGTAAGGAAAACTGGCTTGTATCCATGTTACACATGGAAAAATCCAGGGAAATGCCCATGCAGCTAGACTGTTTACTGGGATTTAAGCCCCCGACCGAACTACCAGTTTTTCAGCGGCAGTGTTCAGCGGCTTTTGCTGCTCGGGCGCTGGTGGGCTGATAATGATTCCATTATGAATATGGCTTTTGCTGCATCAACAAAAAAGTTTTGCTTTTGAAGAAGAGGAACATATGTCTGATAAGTTTTATCCAAAATCTATGCCAGCTCAGGGTTTTTTTTGCCTAACTTAAAATGAATCAGTTTAGGCCACTTGCGATACAAGACCAACTCATTTTTATCAGTACACAGTAAATAACATAGTTTGAAGTACAAACAGTGGGCTATTTAACATCCTCTTTTTTGTTTATATTTATGAAATATCATGCAAATTAGACTTCAAATGCTGTGCTGCAATATATAACTATTTATCTGTAGGAAGCCAAAATTTTTCTTTTTATAGATGGGATTATCTAAGTAAATAACATTTCTGAAATATATATAGATATTTTTAATTTAAAATTTGATTTTAAGCTTAATTATAAAATGTATGGTACGAGCTTTTCTTCTTTGTGATCATTTTCATATCAAATTAATAATTTTATATGAGAAGTATTTTTCATATAATATTCTGTCAAATGAACGTCAGCATAAAAATAATTTTGTTGGATTAGGTCATGACATTGAAGGAAAACTGCTTACAGTGCTAGATAACAATACCCAGTCAATCAAAGAAAAAATTGTGGTAAGTAAAAAGTGTCATAAAATTTTACTTTACTGATTATTTTATGTATTAAATTAATGAAATACATTTCTTAGAACTTACATTTGTAATATGAAAATCTAGTTTATTATTATGTTGTCAATATTTAATAAGTAATATGGAGAATTCTATATATTATTCCATAAATAGAGTGGAAAATATGTTATGTACAGTCAAAAGTCGTTAATTCGAATGCCCATAATCCGGAATGATCTATAATTTGGACCTTCAAGTTAATGTTGAAGCCTTAGTCACATATTTAAATGTTGTGTTTATGTAAATATCTACAAAAGATTAGTCTATAATTACCAGTAAGTAAATGATTCTAATAAACATTCATTGTACAGATGAAAAATGTTATATTAAATTTGCATATGCTGTTAACATGTAATAAAACTTACATTGCTGTAAAATAACATTAAAATGTAATTGGATATGACTGATCTACTTTGTTTTATTTTTCTAAATTACTGAAAGCTTAAAATGGAATTCAAAATTCTCATAAACTTTAAATAAGAAACTTGGACTGTAGGTGACATTTCTGTTAGTTTGATAATACTTTTGTTCTGTCGTAATAATGCAGACTGTTGATGTCTGTATTTAGATGGATTATAATATTTTAATTCATTTCTATTTTTTTTTTTCATACCATTCAAAAACTGCTCATATTTTCTTCTAACAGAATAGCATAATGTTTAATAATAGAACTTTAACATAGTTTAGCATTCTCGCTAACTCTTCCTGTTTGTCACGTCTCCAGGTCTTCCAGCAGATAGCTGAATCTCCTGGTTTTTAATTTTTAGCTTTTATGAAGGAAAATGTTTGCCAGCAATAAATACGGCTGCGAATATATGTGTGCGCGTGCGCAAAATACGTTTACAAATGCGAATTTAATGTATGACGGACGGTATAAGCTAAGCTAAAATTATCGAATTCAGTTAATGTTGCAGATTGCATTATTCCTTAATCTTCGAATTGGATCCGGCTTATTATTTTTTGCAGACTGTTAGACCAATTTTATAAAAGTAAGCTTGAACTTTCGATTATGTCAAATAGAATTTCTGATATATATTTACTAATATGTAAAGGATCTACAAAGCGAAAGTATGTTTCGAAGTCCATTAAACAAAAAGTGGAATTGCTGCAAAAAATAGATAAAGGCATATCCTTTGTTTATCTAAACTTTAACGTTTGTTTTATCTAAACTTTAACGTTTGTTTATCTAAACTTTGTTTATCTTTAACGCCATGACACGCAATGAATTAGAAGTTGATCTGTCAGCACTATCCTTATCTTCAGGGCAGATGTTTTTATTTTATTTGGCTTATAAGTCCTTACTAAATGTAGTATTTCATCTCGATGTACTCCGTCTTTGATATGATTTAAATCAAATTCCTCGTCATTATAATTCGCTTCCGATAGCGAAGAAAGTGACAGAGGTTATTGAAAACGAAAAAATTTCGATTGACAAATTAGTTGGTATTCTCGACACAGCAATTATAGGACTTGAGCAGCGGAACTTTGTAACTGAACAAGAAATTATGTCTGTTTATAGAATTAAAGAGAATGTATTATCACATAAATAACGAAGCAACTTAAACAACTTACATTGAAAGAAATGTGTAATAAAGTAAACAAATTAATATTAAGCTCTTTTTTTTGTAAATTTTGATACCCTTTAGATCATAATTGTTCTTTATTTCATAAATTACAGTTTCATATTTTTAATTTATAATTTCTGCATGCCATCTTATCAGATTTAAACTGAGGATCTATAATCCGGAATCGCTGAAGTCCCGACGAGTTCGGATTAATGACTTTTGACTGTATATGGTTTCTAGAGTTATATGCCTTCTGTTTTGTACTATGTTATATATAGGTTATATTTTTTCTAGAGTTTTTCCCTTTTGAAATATGCACACATACATAAATTAATATTGGCATATGTCATCACTCACTCACACACACACACACACAAAGAAAAAAGAGGAGATATTATTTTATTCCCTTAAGCACAGATAATTTCTAAATTTAAAATAGGCAATGAATTAGAATAATAGGCAGTAAGGGTCTGCTGTGAAATATGAAAATTAACATTATTTTTGTGTCATTCATTGTTAAAACTTAAGCTATATGTTATGCTAATCTAAATTTCATAGGAACAGGATAATAACATAAATTCCCATTTGCTGATTTTTTATGAGAATTTTTGATTTTCAAATTTGAGAACGTTTGATTTGATTAAATCTTGTTTTTTTTTTAACTATATTCAGTTTTATATATTTATTTATGTGTACTTCATATCCATTTATAACATATATTTTCAACTTGTTTTACTTTGTAATGATATCAGTTGGTTTGAAATAAGTGTAAATTTAATACTTCAAAGAAAGTAAATAAATAAATTTGTGTGATTTAAAGTTTTTGAAAATATACTGTGCCATACGTATATTCTTTATTAAAAAAAAGTTAATATTTTACTAGCTTTTTAAACAGTATTTTAAAAGCATGTAAAAGAAATAAACATGAAATCTTCAATCGCAGCAGTTGGAAATCTAATAAATATATCAAAATATAATAGCTGATAATAATGCTTTCTTTACTTTTCATGTACAGTACAATCGGGACTTCAGTGATACTGGATTTTAGATCATCTGTTTAAATTTAGTAAAATGATGTGTAGGCATGGCAATATTGGTGTTTCACATTTTATTTAGATGATACAGAAAAATGCTAAGACCCATGGACTTCGGCTGCATGTACCAGCATCGACCAGACATTTCCGAATGGTTTCCCTTGATACCACCAGATGCCTGGAAGCTGGTAAATGACGTCGAATCGACATCGACTACAACTAGCGACGTTGTTGGCATGGAAGTGGCCACTCATATGATTGTGCAATCCTTGTGCTCATTTGTGTTTCTGGGATGCTTTGACCCTTTGCAACTGTAGACTATCCCTGCTGTGCTCCATTATCACCTACATTGAGCAACTACCATATCATTCCGACCGAAGTGGCATCTGTTCAACCAACCTGCTTCCCCGAAGCCTACTGTACGCCTCTTCTCAAAGTTGCCGTTATCCCTCGGAGGCATTTCTAGTTGTAATGCTGTCCATTCAAGTCAGCAGATTTGTTTAAATAGCCTTATGGCACAAGCAATTATGCTTTTTTAACTCTCCCAACTACGCATCTCATATGCGCATAGCATGTTTACCCTTGTCTCATTAGCATTGAAATTTCTCATACCAGACTACATTCCTGCCGAGTTTCGTGATTGCAGCTCAGTTTCTTTTTGGTACATGTATAATATATATATATATATATATATATTGTGACAGTATATGTGAGTAGTTTGCTGAGCATCCATAAAGTATGAGATGTATATACAAAAGATAATATATTACATTTTCTTGAAACATATACCATATTTTCTCGTGTATTCCCCCCTCATTTTTTATAGGTTCTTAATTTTTTTTTTTTTTTTTTGATATTCATGTAATTTTCCACTTCTACTGTACAAAGTTTTCCTTTTTGAAGGCCTGTTTATTGGTAAATTGTGTTTCCTTGATTATTATTATTTTTATTCAGTGTATTCAATTTACATTTGCATTTTCCCATTAGCATTCCATCTATTTTATTTTCCCATCCATTTGTTATTTCAAACACATTGTTGCGTTTTGCTTTTCTGACACCAATTGTTTACGTTATTTTCTTTCTTTACGTTACGTAAGTTACGGGTTTTGTACAGATTTGGAGTGAATAATGGCCACAGCACTTTATGATGAAGTATCGAAACACACTTCATTTAGCCAATATTAATCAGGACAGCTCCAAAGCACTTTTTACAGTTGTCAAAGATCTACTATAAACACGATGGAACAATCAGCAACACAGCCTTCACACTGTCAGCCAATAAAGGAGGTGACAGCTTCACTGCAAAGCACCAGAGTACAGCTGACTCTGCTCGGTCGTTCTCGGAACTCCACGTACTTTCGAGACTCTCCACACTACAACTCGCGATGCACTCGACAACTCACAAGCACAGCTCCCGACTCTTCAGTTCAGTCATTCCCAGAGCTTAACGCACTCTCTCAACGATGCACTAACTGCGATACACTAAGAGACTCTTCGATGCACTCGACGACCCACTCGGCACTCGCTGCCCGGCTGTCAACTCGATCGCCTCACGTTCGTATGGCTTGTGTTCGAGAACATTCTGGGCTAAACTGGTAAGAATTCATTCCAGAAAGTTCTCCATCCGGGCGATCTTGGCAACCCCGTCTTCCCTTGCCATTTCATGGCAACCCTAAATCTGCTTTGCAGGGAAGCTATCTTAATGCACCTTGACATTTCGTAACACTGCCCCCTCCTAAGGACTGCACATCCCGGGCAGTACAACCCTTGGTCAGAAGCCAAATTCGATACAATCAAAACGTTTTAAAACAAACAGATAACATAATTAAAGAAACTAATATTTACACTATGTACAAGTTACGTAAACAAATTAAACACATAACAGTTTTAAATTATACAATTAAAGTTAAGAATGAATTTCAGTCTCAGTCTTTTCATTAAGTTATACCCAGGTCAAATACTTTTCCACTGCAGTTCTCAGATGCATTTATGTTTTTTCTGTTTTGCATATCACAGTCTGAAGATACTTTCAGACTTTTCATCCACAGGAAGATCTGTAACAGTTTGTTCAATACTCATTAGTTCATTCTCAGCAGGCATATAATTCACCTCAGTATTTTTAGCAATTGATACATGCTTATTTTCCTCCATTTCCTGGGAACCAGTTCCGATGTTTGCACGAGGGTCACGATCCTTTACAAGCAAAAGTATCCGGGTTTAGAATCAAGTTTTTGTCTGTAAAACCTGCACTATGAGACGCACACGTAGTTTGCGAAGTGGGCGAATTTTCTTGCAATACTGGAGCACTCTGCGTAAGTTGTACATCAGCTTCTCCCATCTCTGCATC